CAAGCTGATGTGGCACTGATGCGTTTCCAAAGCACACTTCTGTCGCCCTAAAGGGCGCTTAGCAGTTTCGTAGGATATGCTAGGCTGATAAAAAACAGCAACGGTCCGCTGGGAGACTTTTAGAGATTGAAATAATATCAAAGCTAAGGTAAATGTTGACTTAGCAAACTTGCACCTTAGCTTTGGTTCTGAAACCTAACCTTATAGTAAAATAGAATACTGAAGACATTTCATAAGGCAAACAAACTAGGATAAACTCCCCTCAAGCAGGCAACCATTGTGCAATGCAAGTCTCATTCACAAATCACTTGGGTGCACTCTTGTTTGCATCCGATGCTTTTGGCGCCTCTTCCGGCGGGCTTAGGCTGCCGATGGAGGAGAGCTTGCCAAAGGCCTCTTTGGCATTACCGAATTTATCGTCCACAAACTCCTTGGCTTTGTCAAACACCGACTTGAGCTCCGACTCTGGAGGCATCTGTTGGTCGACAAGAAGAAACAAAAAAAATAGGGGGTGTTTTTGACAAGGCAGTTCTGAAGCATCCGAGGTGAAACTCTTCTGCCTGCTCTGCCCTCCCTGCCCTGCCATGCCTGCCTGCCTGCCTGCCATGGCTACCCTATCCGCCCTCCCTACTGTGCAATATGCTACAGCTCATGCGAGACACCTCCAACAGAGTTTCCGTTAGGCGGTTCAGTGTACTAGCATGCAAAAAGGGTGGGTGTAGCAGTTCAGTGCTCACTCACTCACCTTCAAAATGCCGAAACTGTACATGGCAGCTCGTGTCACAGGAGGCACCCAGAACCAAACAAGCTAACCGAAACATTCCAGAGTGCTCACTCACCTTCACGACATCTGAGCCTTACATGGCAGCTCACGCGAGGGGCCATGCCAAACAAGCTTACGGATTCACATCCTCTGAGCCTCACATGGCAGCTCGTGATACATGAGGCACTCGAGACAAGCTTGAAAAAACATTCCAGAGTGCTCACTCACCTTCACGACATCTGAGCCGTACATGGCAGCACGTGGGTTAGCGGGATCCTGGGAAAAGAGGGCAGCAGACGGGTAAAGGGACAAATTCAAGCATGTAAGAGCCAGTTCAACGTTTCCAGCTTCACCAAAGGCTATTAGAGACGGTTCCACTTGGTGAAACAGAATGTACAATGGTGATGTGCGTTCGTATAATATGCTATCATCCGCTGTTTAACGGTTGACAGGTAAGTTCCGGCAACATTCAGTCAGGTAAGTTGCAGCAGCAGCTTTAGTAAACTGCACTACGAGCAAATGCACAAGAACAAGCCTCCCATATACAATAGGGCATAGCCTTTGATAGTAGAAGGGACAAACCGTTCTGATACAAACCCCTCAACGCAAGAATTTCACTCCGCAAGGACATGCCCCCTGGATGAGTTACGAATACACGTTGAAAAAGGTGGTTGCTTTCATGCCTTGCCAGCCCAGCTCACACCATGCATTGCCACAGCACAGCAATTACTATGACTTTGTGACCATAGGTGTATCCCGATACGCCCTTCAGTTTGATTTAGAGGCGCCTCAAAGACTTACCGTGACTTTGTAACCATAGTCGTAGCCCAACGCGCCCTTGAGCATAGGGTATTGTCTCAAGGCCGCATTGCCTTTATGCCATGCATTCCCAGCTCGTCACACCATGGATGGCACGCAGACATACAGAGCACTTACCATGACTTTGTAGCCGTAATCGTATCCCGACGCGCCCTTGAGCATGGGGTATTGTCTCAAGGCAGCGTTGCGGAGGGCCTTCTCATCCTGCTCGTTGCAACACACGCCACACACAAATGAGAAAGTCAATCGACAAAAACACAGGCGAGAAGGAATAGATGAGCTTCGTTTTGACCTAAGAATAATAACCTGCTAGTGATATTGGTGCACCAGTCACTGCAACTTCAACCACACATGCAGCTATTGCTACAGCTGCCACCCTTCAGATGTCAACTTGCTCTGATTCTCAAACTTAGGGCTGCGCCTCTATCTAGAGCATCACCTCGTTGCGCATCACTGCCAGCTAACATCGTCTTGCCCTCACGCACCTTGCCCAAACCAGCCCGAAAGCAGCCAGTCACCGCACCCATCCAAAGCAAACTCCCCCCCTGCCCCCCCCCCCCGGTTCCCCCAGCCCACCTTGTACACGACAGCAGCGATGTTGCGCGTGAGAGTGCCCTCATACAGCTTCTTCCCCAGGTCGTTGCGCATCACTGCCAACATCATCTTAGCCGCCGTCCCGCCCGTCACCACGCTCAGCGGGTACCACCGGTTCACCTGCACGTGCATTTCGGAAAGGGAAATGAAGTGTGAAGAGGCTACACCAGGTCGATGGAGGTGAGATCGACGCAAACACCAGGCTGCTAATCGAGTGAGCGGCCACTGCCAGCGAGCGTCTTGTGTTTGACACAGGAACAAATGCTGGCTAAACTTGAATCGCATTAGAAAATTCTCTAAGGCGATTTAAGCCAGAAAGTCCAGGCCAGCTCTCGAAACAAAAAGCGGGTAACCAAGCCAATACTATATGCGAATGCGCAACGTGCCACAGGCTAGACATTGTTTCTTGCAACGGGGAGGTCAGTTACTCAAACATTTCGACGATCCCGTCTATGAATCCAAGGCGATTCTAGAATTCTCAGGCACTGAGCTGCGGCAGAAACCGGATCGTGCTGTATCAACTTCGTCTCAATGGTTTTGACTAGTAGATCGCATCGATCGGCTACCACTGCCATGCCAAACCCTTATCTCGCAACGTGTGCGTGGATTGTTGAATTTAAACGCGTTCTCGAATGAGGAAAGCTGGAGCACCAACCTCCTCAACTGCACTCTCAAGCAGGCCGCGTTGGTGCTGGTAAAGAGGACGAAGCGGGGAATGTCGACTGATTCTGACTGAACTTGACTCATCGGTAAAGAGCCATGCTGAGTGGATTAGACGGAAGGACGAGACTAGGGCGAACACACTCTCGAACTAATCGCTTTAGTCTTGATGAAGAGGACGAAACGAGGGGTGTCGTCTGAATTGACTCAGCAGTCAAGAGCCAGGCGGATTAAAACGCAGGAGGGGCAATACCGGCGAACACACTCTCGCACTGACCGCTTTAGTCTTGATGAAGAGGACGAAGCGGGGGGTGTCGTCTGAGGGGTCGAATTCCGGAGGGGTGGGCTGCTGCTGTTGTCTTCTCGCGTAGTTCTGGTTGCTCTTCTTCCCCTTCGCCTCCACCACCAACCTGCAGCCCCAATTCCAATTCAAATTAAATTATTAATCTCAATTTAGACGAAACACCAGCAACAGCGCCCTTGAGATTTAAGGGTGGGAAACGCTCTGAGAATCCACCAACATAAACCACAATGTACACTAACAGTGTTTTTCGTTATTATTGAACTACATATACTGGAGAAAACCAATTAAGAAGGTAGGTCAGGAAGACTAGCTCAAACAGAGAAAGAGTCGCAAGCGCACCTGCTATGATGCCGGCCTGCCGTCTGGGAGCCATCCTGGCGGGGTCTCAAGGCGAGCAACGTGGAAGACGTGCACGACGCCGACGACAGCTTCGATGCTGTCGCCACGCCGAGCCCTGCCGCCCGGACACTGCGCATTAAGATTTGAATAACGGAGGAATCGGTATTGTCTGGAGCTGCAGTTCAGTGGGATGACGAGACTAGCAATAAAATGTGCGATTATTACTAGTGAAAACTTGCACTGGGTAGTCTACGAAGGGTGTTACCTGGACGCGCTGCAATTGGTCAAGGCAGCCATTCTGGACGTCCCAGGCCTAAACGATCGGCGGGCAAGCTTCGCTGTCGCTACGAGAATTTAGGCCGTGAAGAGGAAGCCAGGAATAGAAAGCTAGTGATGTGATTTTGTCAAAAGATCGAAGCAAAGAAGGGGATTAGTTGCAAACTAGAGTGGAGCCTGAAGGTGGAAGAGTCTACTAAACCGTAATCCAGACTCTGATCCACACGTGGAGGTAGATTCTTGAGGCATCGCGTGGCAAAACCTCCTGCACCCGAGGACTGACGACGTTGGCGAATAATCGTGTGGTCGGTTTGGTGGACTCGTGGCACGGTCTTCGCCACCTAAGTAAAGACTAGCGAAGAATGGTAACTGATACCAAGCGATAATCGGCAATGGGCTCGCTCTCAAGGCAGGGGGATTTGCTCGATGGATGGCGTGGGGTGGTCTGCCACAATTCGTCGAGGAGCTTGAACATCCTGAACAACCAATGAGGACTTGTCAAACTGGATTGCTGATGTGTCATCGAAGCTTCGTTTCGATATTAGGCGCCCAGATGCGCTGGAAACTTCGAAGTCGCTATACGTATAGAGACGATTGAACATTATTGAAAGACTCTATACAAAAGTATGAGATAAAGCTTTGCAAGACAGGTGATTGACACATTGTCAGTAAACATTTACTGTACTCGGCGGGAAGTACCTTTGCGCCTTGAACTGTACGACTTCAAACGCGGCTTCGTGCCAACAGACAGGTGTTTGCCGGACAGTCTGACAGAAATTATGACCGCCACAGCTTTCCCCAGCTCAGGCCTAGATGTCATCTGCTTCCCGTCGTCGCAAATCGGGGAAAAGGCACCACACGAAAACAGGGTAACTCAGATACGGCATGAGCGAAACGGGCCCAACAGGTTCGGCCTTGAGATTTCATTCACGAATCACGAATCACCACCATCCCCCCCAGGCCTACCATTTTTGTGACCTTTTTTGTGACCTGCTATCCTGCAGGGCAGAACCAGAAGAATCCCTCTTCCAGCATATTGGGGGGAGGACAATTCACACACTGAACCACCCTTGGGACTGCACCTTGGGACTGCACCTTGGGATTTACCACAGGATTTCACCTCCATCACTCTCAGGATTTCCGTTGTCCGCTATTAAGGCATACTAAATTAGTAGTTTCCCTCGTCTTCCCTGAAGTGTCTCGTGCAAAGCTTCCGTCATTTTGCGGACCTCCTTACGTTACGCCATGAAGATCCCGCAGAAGATTCAGGCGGCATTAGATGAGGGAAGGAAGGTATTCTCGTTCGAGTACTTCCCTCCCAAGACCGCGGATGGCGTGGAGAATCTCTTCGATCGCATGGATCGCATGGTCGCGTACCAGCCTGCATTCTGCGACATCACGTGGGGAGCAGGCGGATCGACGGCGGATCTCACCCTAGAGATCGCCACTCGCATGCAGAACAATGTCAGTTCCTGAGAAGCCGAACGTTTTTCTCCGAAATATTAGTCTCTTCGTTTCAGGCTAACGTACTCCAAAGATTTGTTAAACTTCCGTATTTCCGTCGTTCTCCCTGTCCATATCCTCACATCACGACGTGAATCTCTAGCACAGATGTAGTGCAATCTGTGCCTGTAAACCGTCTTTCAGACCTCTCAAACATCTGATTCCTTCGTATGGTCCTCTCAGCCATGCCGAACATCCTTCCCGCAATTTGCGGGAAGCCGTTGATGCATCCGACCGGCACCACCTTGCAATCTAAATTCATGGAGATGTCACAGAAAGTTTTAATCTCACATCGCATTTGCGTGCATAGTCTCTCATGGCTTCCCTGCAGATCTGCATGGAGACGTCATGCACCTGATTTGCACCAGCATGCCCGTGAAATGGGTTCAGGAATGTCTTAATTACCGTTTCCATATTACATTACCGTCCTCTCACCCTACTCCCCCCCCACCCTCTTTTAGATCTGCGTGGAGACGTCGATGCACCTGACGTGCACCAACATGCCCGTGGAACGGATCGACCAGGCGCTCCTTTGTCCCTTACCCCCCCACCCCCCCTCCCTCCCCCAAAACCATTCCCCGTCTCTCTCCCCCTCTACCCCCGCCGTAGATCTGCGTGGAGACGTCGATGCATCTGACTTGCACCAACTTGCCCGTGAAGCGCATCGCCCAGGCGCTCGTTTGTCCCTCAACCCTTTCCCCCTCCCCTTCTACCCTCTTTCGCAGATCTGCGTGGAGACGTCGATGCATCTGACATGCACCAACATGCCGGTGGAGCGCATCGCCCACGCGCTGGAGCACATCAAGGGTTGACTCATAACACTCTTCTCCCTCGTGTGTCCCTCAACCCCTCTTCCCCCTCTTCACCACAGATCTGCGTGGAGACGTCGATGCATCTGACGTGCACCAACATGCCCGTGGAGCGCATCGACCACGCGCTGGAGCACATCAAGGCCGCCGGCCTGCAGAACGTGCTCGCGCTGCGCGGCGACCCCCCGCACGGCCAGGACAAGTTCGTCGCGGCGGAGGGCGGCTTCTCTTGCGCGCTCGACTTGGTAAGATTTGACTGTCAGAACTGGTAGAACTGGTAGAAGCTCAAAAGCGCGACCCCTCGCGCGGCCAGGACAAGTTCGTCGCCGCCGAGGGTGGCTTCTCATGCGCGCTCGTCCTGTTAAGCTTGAGGTTCAATCATTCATGCGACGTCACGCTGACTATATAATCTTTGCGTATATCCTGGGCTGTAATCCTTATTGTGATACTTTCCGTCCACGCTTGTATCCCACCTTTTGTCCTGATTTTTGTGCGACAGATTGTGTGCTACCGTCCTTGCTCCGTCTGTGCGACGATAGGTTGCGAATTATGTCATTTTTCTCCTTCTCACCGCACTCACTGGCATGCCATTCCTGTTGTCTTTCTCTGCCCTCTCCCGCGTCTTGTCTTTCCCGCGCCTTGCTTCTCCTGCCTCGTTTCCTTGCTGCAGGTGAAGCACATTCGCGCCAAGTATGGCGACTATTTCGGCATCACGGTTGCTGGATATCCAGGTGAGATAGGGACTGGAAGAAATTGACGAGAATTGACTCAAGTACTTACAATACCGTCGTCCTAAACTGATAAGACACGCGTTGCGTAGACGAAATGAATCGCACTCACGCATTTAGAGCTTTCCTAACCCAGCTGAACTCTTGCAATGCGGCCATAGTGTGCACACAGAATCCCATTCCGTCTTTTGAGTTGACCCAAATGTCAAGATTGCGTAGTCCAAACGACCTGAACCGCACTCACGTGAAACCCCATCTTCCCATTCCCTTGCACCCCTGTGATGCGGCCATGGTGTCCGCGTGTAATCGCAGAGGCGCATCCTGACGCCATCAGCGGCCCTGACGGTGCGACGCCAGAGGAGTATCAGAAGGACCTGGAGTACCTCAAGGCCAAGGTGCGGGCAATACGTGATGGGTGGGGAATGCGTGATGGGTGGGGAATGCGTCATGGGTGGGGAATGCGTGATGGGTGGGGAATACGTGATGGGTGGGAAATGCGTGATGGGTGGGGAATGCGTGATGGGTGGGGAATGCGTGATGGGTGGGGAATGCGTGATGGGTGGGGAATGCGCGATGGGTGGGGAATGCGTGATGGGTGCGGAATGCGTGATGGGTGGGGAATGCGCGATGGGTGGGGAATGCGTGATGGGTGGGGAATGCGTGATGGGTGGGGAATGCGTGATGGGTGGGGAATGCGTGATGGGTGGGGAATGCGCGATGGGTGGGCAATGCGTGATGGGTATGTGATGGGTGCATGATGTATAGATGGCGCGCACTCCCATGTGTTTATAATTGACTCAGAAGTACATTAGAGGAGTATCAGATGGACCTTGAGTACCTCAAGGCCAAGGTAAGGTGGGGGGAAATACGTGGTGGGGGGGGGAATGCGTGATGGATGGATGAATATGTGCATGATAGATAGATGCCGCGCAGGCCCACGTCTTTTTAGTTGACTGTAAGGAATACCAGAGAAGTACCAGAAGGACCGGAGTGCCTCACGTTCAAGGTCTGGAAACATCCATGATGAGTGCATGATGATTGGCGCCTCAAGTCCAAGGTGGGGAAAATACATGGCGGGCGGATGGTGAATCAAGTTAGGTAGGGGGCAATGCATGATGGATGGATGGGGCTTCACGCTCGAAATGGGCGGCACAAACGCATGACAGAGTGCATGACGGATGGACGGTGTGCACCCTCACATTCCTGCTGAGGTGAGGTTGACTCAAAACAAGTACCAGCAGTGGTGTTCGCCCTCCCTCATTCCCGTCTCTCTACTTCCGTCCTACTCTCCTTTCCCCTCGACCCTCTTCATCCCCCCTTGCCTCACCCCCTTAAACCCTTAACCCGCCCCACCTATCCCTGTCCCTCCCTGCCCTCCCTTAAACCTTAAACCCTCTTGCAGATGGACGCGGGCGCGGACCTGATAGTGACGCAGCTGTTCTATGACGTGGACATCTTCTCAAGTTCGTGTTGCTCTGCTCCATTGCCCTCTCCCCTTCAAACCTGTTGCTGCTCTGTGTCACTCCCAGATGGACGCGGGCGCGGACCTGATAGTGACGCAGCTGTTCTACGACGTGGACATCTTCTCAAGTTCGTGTTGCTCTGCTCCATTGCCCTCTCCCCTTCAAACCTGTTGCTGCTCTGTGTCACTCCCAGATGGACGCGGGCGCGGACCTGATAGTGACGCAGCTGTTCTACGACGTGGACATCTTCTCAAGTTCGTGTTGCTCTGCTCCATTGCCCTCTCCCCTTCAAACCTGTTGCTGCTCTGTGTCACTCCCAGATGGACGCGGGCGCGGACCTGATAGTGACGCAGCTGTTCTACGACGTGGACATCTTCTCAAGTTCGTGTTGCTCTGCTCCATTGCCCTCTCCCCTTCAAACCTGTTGCTGCTCTGTGTCACTCCCAGATGGACGCGGGCGCGGACCTGATAGTGACGCAGCTGTTCTACGACGTGGACATCTTCTCAAGTTCGTGTTGCTCTGCTCCATTGCCCTCTCCCCTTCAAACCTGTTGCTGCTCTGTGTCACTCCCAGATGGACGCGGGCGCGGACCTGATAGTGACGCAGCTGCTCTACGACGTGGACATCTTCTCAAGTTCGTGTTGCTCTGCTCCATTGCCCTCTCCCCTTCAAACCTGTTGCTGCTCTGTGTCACTCCCAGATGGACGCGGGCGCGGACCTGATAGTGACGCAGCTGTTCTACGACGTGGACATCTTCTCAAGTTCGTGTTGCTCTGCTCCATTGCCCTCTCCCCTTCAAACCTGTTGCTGCTCTGTGTCACTCCCAGATGGACGCGGGCGCGGACCTGATAGTGACGCAGCTGTTCTACGACGTGGACATCTTCTCAAGTTCGTGTTGCTCTGCTCCATTGCCCTCTCCCCTTCAAACCTGTTGCTGCTCTGTGTCACTCCCAGATGGACGCGGGCGCGGACCTGATAGTGACGCAGCTGCTCTACGACGTGGACATCTTCTCAAGTTCGTGTTGCTCTGCTCCATTGCCCTCTCCCCTTCAAACCTGTTGCTGCTCTGTGTCACTCCCAGATGGACGCGGGCGCGGACCTGATAGTGACGCAGCTGCTCTACGACGCGGACATCTTCTCAAGTTCGTGTTGCTCTGCTCCATTGCCCTCTCCCCTTCAAACCTGTTGCTGCTCTGTGTCACTCCCAGATGGACGCGGGCGCGGACCTGATAGTGACGCAGCTGCTCTACGACGTGGACATCTTCTCAAGTTCGTGTTGCTCTGCTCCATTGCCCTCTCCCCTTCAAACCTGTTGCTGCTCTGTGTCACTCCCAGATGGACGCGGGCGCGGACCTGATAATGACGCAGCTGCTCTACGACGTGGACATCTTCTCAAGTTCGTGTTGCTCTGCTCCATTGCCCTCTCCCCTTCAAACCTGTTGCTGCTCTGTGTCACTCCCAGATGGACGCGGGCGCGGACCTGATAGTGACGCAGCTGCTCTACGACGTGGACATCTTCTCAAGTTCGTGTTGCTCTGCTCCATTGCCCTCTCCCCTTCAAACCTGTTGCTGCTCTGTGTCACTCCCAGATGGACGCGGGCGCGGACCTGATAGTGACGCAGCTGCTCTACGACGTGGACATCTTCTCAAGTTCGTGTTGCTCTGCTCCATTGCCCTCTCCCCTTCAAACCTGTTGCTGCTCTGTGTCACTCCCAGATGGACGCGGGCGCGGACCTGATAGTGACGCAGCTGCTCTACGACGTGGACATCTTCCTCAAGTTCGTGGCGGTCTGCCCCCGTTGCCCCCTTCCCTTTGACCCCGAAACCCTGATGCAGATGGACGCGGGCGTGGACCTGATGGTGACGCAGCTTTTCTACAACGTAGACATCTCCTTCAAGTTCGTGGCGGACTGTCGCGCCATGGACTCTTCCTCAAGTTCAGTCTCCCCACATTCCACCCCACCCCCTCAGATGGATGCGGGCGCGGACCTGATAGTGACGCAGCTGTTCTACGATGTGGACATCTTCCTCAAGTTCGTGGCGGACTGCCGGGCCATGGGAGTGAGCGAGCCCATCATCCCTGGCATCATGCCCATCACCACGTACGGCGGCTTCAAGCGCATGACCGCCTTCTGCAAGACCAAGGCGAGTCCCCATGCCCTCTTTGCGTGTGGAGGGAGTGTGTGTGTGTGTGTGCGAGGGAGTGTGCTTATTTGTGTCTGTGTGATTGTGAGTATGTGTGTGTGTGATTGTGAGTATGTGTGTGTGTGATTGTGTGTGATTGTGTGTGTGTGTGTATGTGTGTGTGTGTGTGTGTGTGTGCGTGTGTGTGTGTGTCTGAATTGTGTGTAAATGTGTGTGCGTATTTGAGAGAAGAGTGAGTGCAAGGGTACGAGAGAGCGAGAGAGAGTCAGGCGATAATATCATGATCAGACATTCCAGCGAGACCTGGGTCTGATAGTAGCAAAAGGCTGTAATGTCACTGACCAGCTTTGTTGCTTGCCTCTGTGTTTGAATATCTTTCCTCCCACCGTTACAGGTTCCCCAGAGCATTCTGGACGCGTTGGAGCCGATAAAGGATAACGAGGAGGCTGTTAGGGCGTACGGCATCCAACAAGGCACGGAGATGTGCCGGCGCATCCTGGATGCGGGCATCCACACCCTCCACATGTACACGCTCAACCAGGACAAGACCACCATCGCCATCCTCAAGGTGGGGTGCTGTTGGGGATAGCTTGGGTGCATGGCTTTTCATAAATGACCCATATGTGCTGGCATCTCAACCCTCCACATCTAAACCCTAACCCAGGACAAGACCACCATCGCCATTCTCAAGGTGAGATTGGGTTGGGTGGGTAGCTTGGGTGGATGACTCGCACGTGCATCTTGGGTGGGTACTACATTCCTGGATGTGGGCATCTCCACCCTGCACATGCACACGCTCAACCAGGACAAGACCACCATCGCCATCCTCAAGGTGAGGTTGTGTCGGAGGGTTGCTTCGAGGATGCGTGTGTGAAATTTGAGCAATCGGGAATCTCTAGCAGAGCAAGATCAGGTGGCTTAGGTGCATGGTGTAAATATCCTATCTTATCCCCCAACTCACTGAATCTCCTACCTCCCCCCTCCCCTCTCCCCCTCAGAACCTGGGTCTCATAGAGGCGTCCAACATCCCTCGTGTGTTGCCGTGGCAGCCAGCCAATCCCAGTATATCTTGCACAATCCCCATCCCGTCCTCTCTCCTCCCTCCTCATCCCCATCAGAACCTGGGACTGATAGAGGCGTCCAACATCTCTCGTGCGCTGCCCTGGCAGCCAGCCGATCCCAGTCAATTCTCACTGTATTCCGTCCCGTCCTCCCTCCTCCCTCCTACCACCTCCCCTTCCCCCTACTTCCCCTCCTCGCCTCTCTCCCATCAGAACCTGGGTCTGATAGAGGCGTCCAACATCCCTCGCACGCTGCCATGGCGGCCAGCCACCAACATCGTCCGATGCACAGAGGACGTGCGCCCCATCTACTGGTGAGAGAGAAGTTGGCATGGTGAGGTGCGATTTGCTGGTGAGATCAGTGGCATGGCATGGCAGGTCGTATCTGCTAGTGAGCGCTGTTAGCATGGCAGGTCCTGTATGCTCGCTGCCCTGGTGGCCAGCCACCAGCATTGTCCAATGCACAGAGGACGTGCGCCCCATCTACTGGTGAGAGCTGCTGGCATAGACAGGAGGCATATACTGGAAAGAGCACCTCAACACGTCTTTGTGTTACATGAGCTAACTTTGCACGCACAGCAGCATGGGCCAACTTTCCCTCTTGCCGCTTACTCACACTCTGCTTGCCGCTTACTCACACTCTGTACCCAGCGGTATCCACCCCTTCCCCACCCTTCGCACCTCATACCCACAATCTCTCTCCCCGTAACATCTTAACCGTTCTCCAACCCCACAGGTCCCTGCGTCCCAAGAGCTACCGGGCACGCACAGCAGCGTGGACCAAGTTCCCCTCTGGCCTCCTGGGCCCTGCAGAGGAGTTGTGCCCATCCCTACCCACCCCATACCCATTCGTAACTACCCCATACCCATTCGTAACCACCCCATACCCATCCCAATTGCACTCCACCCCCCATAGGTCCCTGCGTCCCAAGAGCTACCTGGCGCGCACGGCAGCGTGGACCAAGTTCCCCTCTGGCCGCCTGGGCCCTGCAGAGGCGCTGTCGTACAGCGACCTGCCCGCCAAGCACAGGGCGTTCCTCAAGAGGAAGTCGCGGGCTACTGCGCTCGCCAGGGACTGGGCTGTGCCTGTTGCATCGACAGAGGACGTGAAGCAGGTGGGAGGGGTGGGGGTTATGGGACAGGGGAGAGTGGGGAGGGTTTACGAGGTCCAGGCTTGTTGTGGCAGCAAAGGCACTCTCCTACAGCGTGTAGAAAGTAGATTTTTGAGACGTCTCAAAAATCTACTTTCTACACGTCCTACTGCGACCTGCCCGCCAAGCACAGGGTGTTCCCTAGAGCAAGTCGCGGGCTACTGCACTCGCCAGGGACTGGGCTGTGCCTGTTGCATCGACAGAGGACGTGAAGCAGGTGAGGAAAGAAGTAGGAGGGCGAAAGGGATGAGTGGGGATTATATGTGAGGTGGCTGCAGAGGTGCTCTCCTGCAGCGACCTGCCTGCTAAGCACAGGGCGTTTCTTGAGATGAAGTCAAAGACCACCGCGTTTGCCACAGACTGGGCTGTGCCAGTCGCTTCCACTGAAGGCGTGAAGCAGCTGAGAGGGGAGTGAGGCAGAAGCACGTGAGAGAAGGAGGGTGAAAGGGGAGGGGGGTGGTTTCCGTATGGCAGCAGAGGCTCTGTCATACAGCGACCTGCCTGCCAAGCAGAGGGCGGTCCTCACGAGGAAGTGGTGGGTCGATGTGCCCGCTAAAGACTGGGCTATTCCCATTGCAGCAACAGAGGACGTGAACCATGTGTGATTCAGAGGGAAGCATATCACTGAGCCTCACCTACCTATCCCACTCCCTCGCATGTCTTCCTTTTCTCTCCTGCCTTCCTTTCACCCCCCTCCAGCTCTTTGCTCGGTTTGTGAGTGGCGAGGTGAGCAGCTTCCCCTGGAGCGAGGCGGTGGAGGCCTCTCTCTCTGCTGACTCAGCAACACTCCCACTCTTTGGTAAATCACAAGCTCTTCTTCTCCTTCCCCCTCTTTCTCCCCTCCCACAACTCCCCTCCCCCACAGCTCTTTGCTCGGTTTGTGAGTGGCGAGGTGAGCAGCTTCCCCTGGAGCGAGGCAGTGGAGGCGTCTCTCTCTGCGGACTCGGCCCCCATCAGTGCTCAGCTGCAGGAGCTGAACGCCGCTGGGCTGCTCACCATCAACAGCCAGCCTGCTGTCAATGGAGCCAAGTCCGACGACCCTGTTCTCGGTGAGTGCTGTTTTGGTGGGTGCTGAGACTGCGGCAGAAGGCTCCGCTTTGAGTGGGTGGGTGCTGAGACTGCGGCAGAAGGCTCCTTTCCTCGAGAAGGCCAAAGCCCCGCCCTCCATCTCCCTCATGGCGGTCAACTCGCAAGGCGCCATGCACTTGCCATGGGCCCATGTGTATTGGTCTACCTTACCAGTGTCTCCATCCCCCTCTCCCTTTCTTTCAAACTTTCACCCCTGGTTTCCCTCCAGGGTGGGGAGGCCCTGGGGGGTACATCTACCAGAAGGCATATGTGGAGTGCTGTGCCCCACACGACAAGGTCACCACTCTCCTCGAGAAGGCCAAGGCCACGCCCTCCATCTCCCTCATGGCTGTCAACTCGCCTTGTTTCCTTCCAGGCTGGGGAGGCCCCGGCGGGTACATCTACCAGAAGGCGTATGTCGAGTGCTTCGCGCCGCACGACAAGGTCACTACTCTCCTCGAGAAGGCCAAAGCCACGCCCTCCATCTCCCTCATGGCGGTCAACTCGCAAGGCCACGTGCTCGCCACCGGCCCCCGTGCTTCCTGGCCTCCCACATGTGTTCCTCTGCCTCTTACCATTTTCATCACCCCTTTCTCCCTCTCTTCACCTGTGCGCCCCTTGTTTCCCTCTAGGCTGGGGAGGACCCGGGGGGTACATCTACCAGAAGGCGTATGTCGAGTGCTTCGCGCCGCACGACAAGGTCACTACTCTCCTCGAGAAGGCCAAAGCCACCCCCTCCATCTCCCTCATGGCGGTCAACTCGCAAGGCCACGTGCTCGCCACCGGCCCCGGCACACCCGCTTCCACCACGCCGTTCTCTGCGAACGCGGTCACGTGGGGGGTGTTTCCGGGGAGGGAGGTGGTGCAGCCGACGGTGGCGGATTTCATGTCGTTCCTGGCGTGGAAGGAAGAGGCGTTTGGCGCGTGGGTGGAGGATTGGGCAGGGCTTTACAAGGAGGAGGACGAGGAGGGCACACCGGTGGCCAAGAAACTCCTCCAAGAGGTGAGGAACGGTTGAATGAGGTGAGGAGGGGTGTGGGTGTGGTTTTCGGTGGGGCTTTTTGAGTGAAGGAGCGAGGGCAAGGGAGGGAGGTGGTGCAGCCTACGGTGGCGGATTTCTTGTCATTCCTGGCGTGGAAGGAGGAGGCGTTTGGCGCGTGGGTGGATGACTGGGCGGGGCTTTACAAGGAGGAGGATGAGGGCATGCCAGTCGCTAAGATGCTGCTGCAGGAGGTGAGAGAGAGGCGCGTGCATGGGGTGAGGGAGGAAGGGAAGGGTACAAGAGGTAAGGAACGGTTGAAGTAGGTGAGAAATGGTGCAGGTGCGAGAGTGGAAGAGTGACGGCAAGGGAGGGAGGTGGTGGAGCCGACAGTGGCGGATTTTATGTCGTTCCTGGCGGGGAAGGCGTTTGGCGCGTGGGTGGACGACTCGGCGGGGCTTTACAAGGAGGAGGATGAGGAGGGCACACCGGTGGCCAGGAAGCTCCTCCAAGAGGTGAGGGCGGGATGGGTGCATGGGATGAGGGACGATAGAAGGAGGTGAGAAGGGGTGTGGTTGCAGGGCTGGATGGCAGGAGGCTGTTAAAGGCTTGTGGGAGTGCTGCTGGAGGGTGTGTTAGGGGGTGGTATCTGGTGACTGGGGTGATATGATGTGGTACGATTCTAAATAAGGCATCATGAGGCATCAGGGAGTGAGTTGAGGTGATGCGTGTTTTGGGGGTTATAGCTTCAAAATGACTTGTTATTTTCGTCAATGTTCCTTTATCGATGTCATCTTCTGTGTCCTGGCTTGTGCAGATCCACGACACCTATTACCTTGTCAGCGTTGTTGACAATGACTACGTCAGCGGTGACATCTTCGCTCTTTTTGCTGGGATCTGATTTATAGGTGGCTCTAATAATATGGTTATCTTATTTTGCCACGTTCTGTGGTTCTAGAGTCTAGACTAGATAGTGAGGTGGTGTCAAAACGGTAAAGCTAGAAAAGAGGATTCAAATTACTTTTCAGTGTTTTATTTCTACCGTATGAATTTACTCTTTGGTCTGTTTCCGTGCGGTTCTGTGCGGCGCCCTCCCATACCCCAGCCACCACCAATGAATTTACGCTTTGTTCCCATATCCGCTCTAACGGGTGGGAGCGCGTCACGGCAGATTCTAGGCTGAAAAAGGTGCATCGCAGAGATATTTTTTGCGCAGAGCTTGCATCATATTGGCTGGCGCAATCGGTGCGTTGTTCCGCTAGAGAGGAGCAGTCGTAGTTATTCCTCCCCTGTCTTTACTGCTTCGTATCCCTTCTTGTGGTTCTAGTAGTTGGCTGTTTCACGTGTCTAGCATGAGGCGGTAACTAACCGTTTTCCCCGCTGCGTGTGACGAGCTTCCACGTGACAATCGCCAATGGCGTCGCGGCTAGCCCAAACGGCTCGTTCTCACGGTTCTCCCGCTCTTCGGCTCTTCACAAGAAATTTCTCCCTCCACTCGCTTGGTCAATTAGAACCAACTTTAGGACCTTGTACAGGAATTTCTTACACAGGAACTCCTTATGACGGAGACGCTTATATAGGGATTGATGTAGACATCCTTTCAGGATCCTCTCCCCAAGGGGATCGAGGTGGCGAGAGCGGCTCGGCGCGCTTTGAAGGCTTAGGCAAGAGCGCCATCAGCTGCAGTAGAGGCGCTAGTAACAGCGACATCTCCGGCAGCATTTGCGAAGGAATTTCCGGCGGGATTTACGGAGGTCATGCGACGGGCACGAGGCGGATTAACACGCGCGCGCCCGCGCCGCCGCCGGTTTTTACCGGCGAGCAGTGGACGACGGCGCACGCGTTCACGGCTGCTGAGGTGGCAGCGTTCGCGCACATGACGGGCGATCTGAACCCCATCCACCTAGACGCGCGCGCGGCGGAGGCGGCGGGATTCGCGGAGTGCGTGGTGCACGGGATCCTGGCCGCGAGCTTGTTCCCCGCTCTCATCGCGAAACACCATGTACGTTGGTTGGTTGCTTAAGACACTGTGATTCTCTCTCTGATCGCCTGTCTCAAAGCTTGGAGGCGGCAGGTGGCAGGTGGCAGGTGGCAGGTGTGAACTGCACGGGATCCTGGCAGCTAGCCTGTTTCCCGCTCTCATCGCGAAACACCATGTATGTTATGTTGGTTACTCCTTTCACTCTGAGAACACTAATCACCCTTATCACTCTGAGAACACTAATCACCCTTATCACTCTGCTAGTAACGTGTTCACTCGTATCACAGCTTAAGGCACATCGGGCGAGGGATTTGGATAGACATGCCCTGCATCCCACCCCTCCTCAACCCCCCAGCCAGGTGCCATCTACGTGTAGCGGATGCTGCACTTCCTGGCGCCCGTGCATTTGGGCGAGCAGGTTACGGCCATGCACTTCCAACCCGCTTCCAACACCTCCGTCTCCATTCCCCCCACCCCACCCTCCTCGCACCTGCCAGCCGGTGGCATCTACGTGATGCTGCAGGGTATTTTTGAGAATTCTAAAAAATACCCCACCCCACCCTCCTCGCACCTGCCAGCCGGTGGCATCTACGTGTCACAGACACTGCGCTTCCCGGCGCCCGTGCACGTGAGCGAGCAGGTTAGCGAACAGGCGAGCAGCTCACAGCCACGCAGCATTCCATGCACCCCTAACCCCCCTCTAACAACCCCCCGTCCCTTTCCTCCCATGTCCCCTTCCCCCTCATCCCTCCCGACACTATTGCCCGTCAGCCTGGTGTCATTAACGTGTCACAGACACTACACTTGCTGGCGCCCGTGTGAGCAGGCGAACATGCAGTTTTTTCGCACAGACCGACCGACCACTCCAACACTCCACCCGCCCCTTCCCCCACCCGCCCTCTTTTACGCCTGGCAGCCAGGTGCCATCTACGTGTCACAGACGCTGCGCTTCCTGGCGCCCGTGCATGTGGGCGAGCAGGTGACGGCCACAGTGGAGGCGATTTCTGTTGTCGCACACCGACACAGATTCAGGTGTGTTTGTGCGCGGAGGCGCGTGTGAGAGAGGGTGTGCGTGAGAGGGTGTGTGTGTGTGTGTGTGTGTGTGTATGTGTGTGTGTGTGCGCGCGCGCGTCTGTGCACCCCCGTTTGTGTGTTCCTGCCTGTGAGGGTCTGTGTGCGTGCATCTTTGCTGCTCCGTGCACGTAGGCGAGCAGGTGACAGTGACAGTAGAGGCCATATCATTGGTGGCACACTGGCACAGATTCAGGTGGGTGGGGGACTGCATGTGTGCGTGCGGGGGAGGGGGGGGTCGTGTATGTGTGCGCATCTGTGCTGCCCCGTGCATGTGGGCGAGCAGGTGACGGCGACAGTGGAAGCCATATCAGTGGTGGCACACCGACACAGATGCAGGTACGTGTGAGAGAGAGGGTGCGCGTGTGTTTGGCTGTGGGTGAGGGTCAGTGTGTGCGCATGGGCGAGCAGGTGACGGCGAGTGCCCATCGCTGTAGTGGCATACCGGCACCAACTTAGTTGACTTTTGAGTCGACTCAAAAGTCAACTCGAGCAGATGACAGCAAGTGTGCACGTGGGCGAGCAGGTGACAGCAAGTGTGCACGTGGGCGAGCAGGTGACAGCAAGTGCAGGTGAAGCCCATCTCAGCAGGAGAGGGTGAGTGTGTGGCTGTGAGTGAGGGTCCGTTGGTGAAATTTGAGGCGCCTCAAAAGCCATCTCAGTGGGGGCATACCGACATGCCTTCAGGTATGTGTGTGCGGGCCTTTGTGTGTGCGGGCCTTTGTGTGTGCGGGCCTTTGTGTGTGCGGGTCTTTGTGTGTGTGCGGGTCTTTGTGTGTGCGGGTCTTTGTGTGTGCGGGTCTTTGCACACCCCCCTTTATTCCCTTCCCCATGCCTTTCCCCATCTCCCATCCCCATCCTCCCCACCTCCTCAAGAGTCACGTTTGCATTCTAGGTGTTCAAAGCATCTTCAAATGTCGTTCCCCATACCTTCCCCTTACCCCATCCCCCATCCCACACCTCCTCATAGTCACATTCGCATTCAAGACATTCAAAGCATCTTCGCTCACACCTTCCTTTATGCCTTACCCGCATGTCGTCCCCCATACCCCATCCCCATCCCCATCCCCATCCCCATCCCCATCCCCATCCCCATCCCCATCCCCATCCCCATCCCCATTTCCATCCCCATCCCTATCCCCATCCCCATCCTCTTACCCTATACCCCATACCCCATACCCCATACCCCATACCCCATCCCCGTCCCCATCCCCATCCCCATCCCCGTACCCTATACCCCATACCCCATACCCCATACCCCATACCCCATACCCCATCCCCATCCCCATCCCCATCCCCATCCCCATCCCCATCCCCATCCCCATCCCCATCCCCATCCCCCTCCCCCTCCCCCTCCCACACCTCCTCAGAGTCACATTCGCATCCAAGGCATTCAAAACGCCGCGTGTCACACCAGCAGCAGCAGCGGATGCGGCAACATCGGGGGATGTAGCCCCGCCCAGGCCTGTGCTGGCATTAGATGGCATTGCAGTCGCCATCATTCCTCCTCTCAGCAACGACCCACCCAAGCCCATGGAGTGTAGAGACGACTTGTTGCGTACTGGTTTGCAGTCACTGTAGAGTAGCAACGGGGGCAGGCAGTGGTGGGTCAGTGGCCGGCGGCCGCACCTTTCACCCGGTGCTGCTGGCATTAGATGGCATTGCCACACCTTTCACCCGGTGCTGCTGGCATTAGATGGCATTGCCATCGTCATCATCCCTCCTCTCAACAGAGACCCTCCCAACCAATCCCTCCCAACCAATCCCTCCCAACCCAATGGAGTGGTGTTGACACCACCACTGGTTAGCAACCCAATGCAATAGCATCGGTAGCATGGGGGTGGGGGGAAGTCAAGCAGGGTAGTTTAGAGGTAGAATTGATGGTGGATGGATGGATGACTGTGCCATGGGCTGCCAAGATCCAGTCCAGTGAGATGCTTCTCTGTTGGCCAGATGGGCTGTTTTGTTGCTAGATGTAAATTGTTGCATACCAGGTCAATGGAAGTAGAGTTTTTGCTTTGATTCCGTAAATATATAATGGTTCAAAGAATAGGCGAACTATGGACCTAATTTTAGAAGCGACTCTTTGTATAATACAAGTGTAAAAGCTGTCACTGAGTCAGCCCTTAGGGGAACTGCTGCACAGGCATGACCTTCCTCGCGCGGCCGTACGCGGTATAAGCGCAGTCTACAGCAAGCACATCACTCGCCTCATACGACCTGGGTGTACCATCCAAGAACCCCTTCCCCTCGGTGCCGTCAGCTGAAATCGGACGGTGCAGGCTTGCGATCAAACGCTGGAAATCCTCAGCGCGCTGCGAGTGGTCCGCGCGGTACGTCTGCCCCAACACGCCATGAATATCCTCAGTGTGCTCCAGCTCGGCAATGCCGACGTTGATATGCGCCTCGGCGTCGGTCGGGGTCTGCAGCTTCGAGTGCGCGACGCGCAAGCGCAGATCCAACGAAATCAGGCCGTTGATCGTCAGCATGTAGTAGTCCACATCGAACGGTCCTTCCTTCTCCAGCCCGCGGAATTGAATCGTCGGGCCACCGTCGCTCGTCACCGTGTCGCCAACCTTCATCCGCGGCATCTCCTTGCCGTCAATCTCGATGCTCTTCATAAACCCGTCGCCACGCTCTTGTTGCTTACCACCGCGCGCCGCAAGCCTAACCTTGTGATCCGCGCCCCCGGCGGTCCAGACCATCCCGAGCTCCTTAATCCACGTGTGCACCGCCTTGCCATCAACGACGAGCGCCGCATTATCGGTGCGCTCATCATAATAACCCCTCAGCAGCATGTTCACAAGAAGATCGCGGTCCGTCAGCAGGCAGAACGCCTTGTCGGGCCGGCCGTTGAAGTCGAAATGCGTGCCGTGCGCGCCGACCAAATGCGGGTCGTTGAGAATCTTCGCGCTAGGGTTACACTCTCCACCGATGCGCACCTGCAGGTTCACCGGCTTCGTTTCCGTCGAATACTGCGCGGTCATCTCTCCGCAGGTGAAATCAATCTGGTCGTGGATCAAATAGCACGCGCCCTTGCCCTTCTTCCCTCGATGGTTATATCGGGGATGTACTGCCAGTACGTGCACAGCGGAGTCGCGGCGCAGGTGTTGCAGCACGACGCGGGGTTAGCCTTGAGCACTGTCAGCGGGTTACCCGGCACGTACAGCTCGTAACCCAGCTTGTTCTTTTGCAGATAAGCAGTTTTCCACTTAGCGGGGATGCCTCCCTTGGAACAATTTTTTGGCGTGCAGGCTCCTGCGAGCTCCTTGTTCAAACCAGGCGGGCATTTCTGCGCGTTCCACCCGGCCTTCTTCACATCAGCCATAAAGAACGAATCCTGTGCCGTATCCACGTAGGTGAGTCCCGCTGCATTGCCCGTCGCGGCCTGCTTTGCGATATCTGCGGGGATTTCGGTCATGAGGCCGTCGTCCTTCTTGCTGCTCTGGTCGGGCTTCTCATTCGCGCTGGCGCTCGTGATGGGGCTGCCAGCGCGGGCGAATGCGAGCAGCAGCGCCAGGGAGAGCGCGAGAAGCGCGGCTCTAGCCATTCTGGAAAGCTGGGAGATACGTGAATCGAAACGAACCAGTGCGCTGCGTCGTTTTAAATTAGTACAAAACGAACAGTCGAGTTGAGAGTTTGTTCTACTGCTTGCTGAGGAGATCAGTTTCTGTGTTTGTTGGTTGGATGGAAATGGCGAACATTTTATTCGAGGGAAATGAGAGGGGGAGAGGAGAGGCACCGAGTCGCGGTTGTGTTTGTTTCTCTGCGGCGCGCTGTAGTTGGTCCGGTTTTGACCTGCCCTTGTTCAGCCGCGGTGGTCTCACATTGCTCCTTCATGATTGGATATATTCCCAGGTGTATCCGACCCTACTTGCAGGCCACGAGGCGCATGCTGATCATGTTTATGCTGCATGTGCATCTGCTTCGACACCTGAACAGATGGGCTGAGGTGTCCAGGCAGGAAGCGAGAGGTCTATATACTTCTGTTGAACACAAAAATGTAGTACAGGCAAATACCAAATTATGTAGTAATAAAATATGCTCCGCCAACCTAGGAAGATTCTGCAACGTTAACACTAACTTGGAGTCAACATTACCTTAGACAGTCGCTTCGTTTATGTCTAGAAAATTTGTGTAATGCTACCACCACGTACCGTATCGCCCCGGATATAACCGCAGGCCTATTAAAAGCGCATGCGCTTATATATGGAGCAATGCGCTTATGGCCGATCCTCAATTAGAAGCGCACCCCTTATAAAATCGTTACTTATTATAAGCGCAGCATTGTAGTAAAAAAAAAAATATGATTGCTCAATATTTGTCATTATTGTTAGAGCTAAAGCAAGGCTAGCCTTCGTTAGTTATACTTTTGCACTAGCTAAAAGTTTCACATACAATATGGAGACTGATGTCCTAGCCTAAACACCATCATCTTGCATAGTCTAACCTTAGGCCTGCTCTTCCTCGACGTCCAATTCAGGCTCCGTGGCGTTGTTGCTGTCAATAGATCTGCACTGTGGATGCCCGATTGATCCTACGGGAGGTTATAGGCGCGTTCGCCTGGGGGGTTGTGGCCGCACAAACCCGCTACACCAAACAAACCCTTTTATCCCAATGGTCTAGTGGTTGGGATTCTGACATGGTATCAGAACGGTCTCGGGTTCGAATCCCAGTGTATGCACATGTAGGCCGTTGCCGTTGTGCTCAGACCTGGGCCTCCCAGTGTGGGGGGGTGTCAGTAGATCTGCACTGAGGATGCCCGATTGATCCTATGGGGGGTTACAGGCGCGTTCGCCTGGGGGTTTATGGGAGCACAAACCCGCTACACAAACAAGTCCTTTTATCCAAATTGTCTAATGGTTGGGATTCTGACAGTTGCCCCATAACCCGTCTGCTTGTATGTCGTCGTCTACCTCTACCTCGTGGCTCAACTGGCTTCTCCGGTGCGCCATCACCATATGGTCTTCGCTCCCGTCAAGGGCATTGCTGATGCCGCACGTGAGAAAGGCTTTCTTAATCAGGTCGGCAGACACTGCCTTCCACGCCCGTGAAATCCACTTGAGCACCACCGCCGTGGGTGGTTTCTTGATGTTCCCTGCACGACATGAAAGGGAGTGGGGAACACATTAGTCCACAAGCATGCAGACAAGCATACGAAGGGGAGACGGGAGGACATGTCATCGCTCACATGCAGGTGTCAGAATGTTCATGCCGTCCGCCTCAAACAAGGACTAGTACTGCTGGCGAACACTCACTTTGAAGCTCTTGTTCACTGACACATGGAGCGGCTGCACGTTGTCAGAATCTAGAGCGAGAATGAAATGCATTGAACAGAAGTTGGGTACAAGTACTAACCCTAGTTGGGTTGTACCCCTTATGGGGCACCCCACTATAGCCTACACAAAGTAAGTGCTATAAAAGTTTTGACACACCCCCATAAGCAAAGTGGGGGAGAACAAGTGGTCACAAGACCAGTCAAGAAAAGCAAAACAAGCTCAGGGTGGATCACGAAGTCACCACACATTCCGAGCACAAGCAAAGGCCACAAGGCCAGTTGATATGCAGAGTTATATAAAAGAGAACAAACAGTACAGTGATCATACCCTAGCAAGTGTAAGCATGCAGGTATATATATAGATCACAGTACAAGCAAAGTCACGTAGTGAGCAAGTGAGGCACGTGAGGCACAAGGCCTAAAATAGTACATAAACGCTGATGATCACCAGACTGAAGTGCCTTGGTGAATATATCAGCAGTGTTGGCCCTAGTGGCCACGTAAGCAAGACAAATCTGACCACGCTGCTGCAACTCTCGAGCAAGGAAGTAACGCAGAGCGATGTGCTTCGTTCTGTGCTCCAGTCTGTGCTCCTGACACAAGGCAATCATGGCCTTGTTGTCTACGTACAGCACTGGAGAATGCAAGCAACAAGGATGAGTACCGCTACACGATAAAGATATTTGCACGGGAGCAACAACTCTTAAACCATGAGAATTCGCTCGAGGTAAGCGGGAAACGAGGCACTTATGCTCCTGTGTTTTCTGCGCCACCTTAGTTTTCATGCGCACGCTGAGGTTCCACCGCTTGCGGAACTGCTCCGACCACCGCTGACTCCCTTTCCACTTGACTTCCGGGAACTGCACCTTCATCACTTCGCGTGACCAATTTTGGAGCCGGCCGACTGAAACTGCAACACCGCGGCGTCGCCAGTCGAGGAGTTGAGCGTACACCTTTAACTCCATGGGTCTGTACCAAGTGTCAGAATCCCAACCACTAGACCATTGGGATAAAAGGGCTTGTTAAGTAGCGGGTCAGTGCGCCCATAACCCCCCAGGCCAACACGCCTGTAACCCTTCCCTATGATCAATCGGGGATCACCAGTGGACCTCTGACACCCCCCCGCACTGGGATGCCCGAAGTGCACACACCGGGATTCGAACCCGAGACCTTCGCTCTGATACCATGTCAGAATCCCAACCACTAGACCATTGGGATAAAAGGGCTTGTTAAGTAGCGGGTCAGTGCGCCCATAACCCCCCAGGCCAACACGCCTGTAACCCTTCCCTATGATCAATCGGAGATCACCAGTGGACCTCTGACACCCCCCCGCACTGGGATGCCCGAAGTGCACACACCGGGATTCGAACCCGAGACCTTCGCTCTGATACCATGTCAGAATCCCAACCACTAGACCATTGGGATAAAAGGGCTTGTTAAGTAGCGGGTCAGTGCGCCCATAACCCCCCAGGCCAACACGCCTGTAACCCTTCCCTATGATCAATCGGGGATCACCAGTGGACCTCTGACACCCCCCCGCACTGGGATGCCCGAAGTGCACACACCGGGATTCGAACCCGAGACCTTCGCTCTGATACCATGTCAGAATCCCAACCACTAGACCATTGGGATAAAAGGGCTTGTTAAGTAGCGGGTCAGTGCGCCCATAACCCCCCAGGCCAACACGCCTGTAACCCTTCCCTATGATCAATCGGGGATCACCAGTGGACCTCTGACACCAAGAAGACCTCCCGCGCTCATGAAGTCGACACCGTGCGGCGTGTGAAGCCTTGAGCTCCTCCGCTTGGGTTTTCCACTCCGTTAGGCATTTGCGGTGTATGCCGGACTCCCGCGCGACCTCGCTTATCGATGCCGCCAGCTCTAGCCGCACGAGCCACCTGAGTTTCTCCTGGGAGGTTTAGGACTGCCGTTTATGTTGAGACGGCTTGTGTCTGGGAGAGGGGGGGCGGGCATCTCGGTTCTGGGAGGAGGGGTGGGGTCGTTTTTTGTTAATCGGTGGATACGTCGGTATCGGCATCTTCTCGCGTGGTGCGTCGCGCCACCATGACTCCACACCGTCGTCGTCTTCGGCAGTTGCACCACGATCTGGGAACACGTCCTCCTCGGCGCTCGCTTCACCGTCGCCTCCACCGTCGCCGTCGTCGATGTTTTGTTTATCGGCGGCCACGTCATCGTCGGCGCCCACAGCCGACTCGTCCCACGTGCAGGCTTCAGGCTATCCCCACTGTGGTGCAGGCGGCGGAGCCTGGATGAACACATTGGGGGCCTTGGGTGTGTCCGGTTCAGACAGCCACTCGTCGAAAGTGGCCGGTAAATACAGCTGGAGCACGGGCCGCTGGTGAGCACTGGCACCGATATCAGGCGGATTCGGAGGAGCAGGAGGAGCGGGAGGAGCAGGAGGAGCAGGAGGAGCAGGAGGAGCAGGGGGCGCAGGGGGTTCAGGTGGCACTGGAGGCGCTGCTGGCTCACAGGTATACCACCCGTCGTCGGTAAGTCGCCACGGGCGAGCTGGTTTTTTCTTGAAGAGGAAGTGCTTCCCGCTGAATTCCGCCATGGCTTCGCCAGCCAGGCGGCCTAGACTGGAATATGAATGAAAAAAAAAAATGAGAGAGGGTGCACAAATGGGCAACGAAGGGGACCCCGTAAGGTTGGCGCCTCGGGGTCCTCGTCAATGACAGACGGGAAACCCCCGCCTACCCCCGTAGAGGACCCTGCGTGGCAGCATAAACGCTGCGCTGGCAGGGAATCTTCCCCACCCTTCGAGAGGGTTCGGAAGAAATGCACATGCCACGCAGGGCATGCGGCTTTGATTGGGCCGCACGGCAACATCCCCGTCACTGCTGCCACGTTCGATGGTTCTAGACAAAACAGTGCGGTGGGAAACCGAACCGCTGCTGTTTTTGCATGAAAACCATGCACGATCCCACGTGTTGTATGGTCGGTTGAATTCGCCTGATTGCGGGCTTCAATTTGGTATGTTTAAAGGTGATTTTTTTTTTTTCCTATTACAGGCGCATGCGCTTATCAAAATGACTCAATTAGAAGCGCACCCCCCTAAAAAACACTGTTTTATTATAAGCGCACCTGCGCTTCTATCCGGGGTAATACGGTACTATTTTACCCTACTATCACCGGTAGAAGAATCAGGTGGTGTTTTCTGCCATAGTGAGCAAATAGCAGCAGAATTAATTGCAGTGATTGATCCACACTCTGCCTTGCAGCCTGTGTTCCACCCGCAGGCAGCACGTCAGCAACACAGCAGCATGTGATTGGCAGGCTCACATCAGTCAGTCAGCGCCGGACGCAAGGTTGCTTCACTAAGGACAGCAGCAGTCCAGAGCCCCTCGTCACCCCTTGAGGTCGACAGCAAGAGCCAAGCATTAACTCCATGCCCTCTGTGGGCTTCAAACTTGGGTCTAAAAACGCAGTTTTGCTCCGCAGCAGCATCTCATAGCAGCGTATCAGAGCATGACTCCATGCCCATAGCCCGTCGTAGGTTTACCATATGAACGGCTGAGGGAGAGAAGGTGGGGGGAGGGTGGGAGGAGGGGGAGGAGGAGGGAGAGGAGGGGGAGAAGGAGGAGGAGGAGGAGGAGGAGGAGGAGGAGGAGGAGGAGGAGGAGGAGGAGGAGGAGGAGGTAGAAGGAGAAAAGGTTGGAGAGGGGTGGACAGGGGAGAGAAGCAGAGTGCGGGCACTGGCAGCTAGTAGGAGCTCTGCTGATGCTGCCACGTCAGCTGACACTGATTCTGCTGCTACTTCTTCCTCTCCCTCTGTTTCTGCCTCTCTCAATCCGTCCCTGCCATCATCGTCCTCTTTACCTTCCTCTCCCTCATCATCACCATCATCCCTCCTGCCAATCATCTTGTCCTTGCTCCCGCTGCTGCTGTTCTCGCTTCTCGTGTTGCTGCCCCTCCCACAATCACCATCTTTGCAATCACCACCACCAGCACCGTTGGGCTTCTTATTGAAGGACTCGATAACAGACTGTAGACGCATGACTGTAATGCCGCGTGCAGACAACATGGCTGTTAGGGCTCCATCCACAGCACAATCTTCTTCGTCATTTCTGCTGAGAAACACCACCCGAATGCCTTGAGACTCTAACGAGTCTCCCACTAAAGCGGCAACTGCGGCAAGGGGCAGATATCCCTGCTCCGATTGCTCAGTTAAGTTTCTCTGCCCGTCCTTCTGCCCAACTTCTGGCCCGCCAACCTGCTTCTTCCACGTGCCCACCACCGAGTCGAAACTATTTTCCTTACCATCCACACTCGAATCGACGCCACTCGTTACTTGCGTCGCATCCCCCTTTGCTGCTGCTGCTTCCAAACCTTCCGCGCTGCTTCGACCCTGTTCGCTAATATAGCAGACCCGCCGTTCCAGGCGCAACGCGGCATAGTCACCTCCGATATACTCCCGCCGGTACCAATCCGCTAGCGCCACAACTTCGTGAGACGGCTGCAACGGAAACACGCAACCATTTCTCACGCTTGTCTTTGACCCGATATTCTCAAGGTTCGATAGAAGCAACTGGTGAAATACGTGATAAGGGACGTCTGCTCCGATAAGAAGGTCCGACGCGTTCAAGTTGCTGAGATCCCCGAGAGAGAGCACCGACACGCGGTACGATCGAGGCGCGTCGGTGAGTATTGCGCGAGGGAAGTCGGAGATGCTTGAAGCGAAGGGCGACATGCGATCCGTGCGACGAGGGAGGGCTACCCGGGTCACTTCGGTCTCGTACAATTTGTTTTCGCGAAGTTCGCGGTGAGAGGACGCGCAGTGGGAGGGGAGAGAGCAGCTGCCAGGGGAATGGCCGCACACGAGACTATCCACGTGGACGGTCTTCATTCGTCGAAGCCGCAAGAAGCGAGTCAATGTCATCACGCGAGGCATGATCGCCCTCTCGTCGTTCCCCCCGCTGTTCCCGCCGCTGTCTCCGCCGCTGTCTCCGCCGCTGTTTTCGCTGGTATCAGAGAGTGGCACGTTACTCAGTCGTCTTGCGAAATTCGCTCTTCCGTCTTCCACGGCGCTGCTAGTACCAGAACCCGCGTTCTGACCGCCGCTGCTGCTACTGCTACTGGCGATGCTCCCACTGTTGCCGGAGGAAAAACACTGTTCCAGCTTTGCGAGATTGAGTACCCGCGAGAAACTAACGGACGGCGGACCGAAATCACGGTGACGCCGGTTACTAGTCCTACTATCACTACCAATACTACGAATGCCACTTAAGGTACTGGTAGCGTCTAAGTGATTCGCGTGATGTCGTGCATCGCCGCAAAGGTCGTTTTCGGGAACGACGAGGGTGCGATTCAGCATCGCCGCTACAAGCACGTACCGCTGCAAGCACACCACGCGGTCCGCCACGTGGCCGTGTGTACAAGTGGCCAGAAGGTACTTGTCGTTCTCCGGAGACCACGTGATGGGCTGCCACACAGGAACCGCCGAAGAATCAGCATCAACATCGTGCTCTAAATGCCTGCGTCCTGCGATCGTTAAGCGCGAGCTATCGTTAGAGCAATTCGCGACATCGTAAACGAGAGATGCTACCACGCGCCGCTGTAATCGTCCCGCGTTGCTGGTATTGCTGCTGCTACTTGTAGAAAGAGACGAGCTGGCGTTTATCGAGTCCGCTTCGCGACGGGTGGTGTGGTGGACCAAGAAGAGCGATCCGAGGAGCAGCGCCACGCAGAACGCGTACACGGCGCGGTCCGCCCACTTGTGCAGCTGCGCAGGATGCGGCGGCGATTGCGGCATGCAGGTTGGCATCACCAGCGGTTCCCTGAGCCCGCTGAAGTCGCACGAGCGCCTCCAGAAACGGTCGCCGTGCGACGGGTGACGCATGTTGGAGAAATGTACGCGTGGGCGGAGAAGGACTACGGGTTACTAAGATGGAGCGAGGCTAGGAACGAGACCAAGGCCTCGAAGTGCTACTAAGATGGGGCGGTCTTAAGACTTCTAAGAGCACCTAAGCGGGCGAGCGCAGGGACAACCGCGAATGGAGGAGAAATCAATCGTGGGTGAGTTGATCGAAATCGAGAGGGTGAGGGCTAATTGCGAGAAAAACAGAGGGACAAGCAGACAACAACCAACGATTTAAGAGTTTTTTTGCAAGCTGACATGGGGCTGGGTGAACAAAGGAAATGTCATGAGATCGAATCGCCTTTGAAACCAAACCCCCTCCCTTCCAAATATCTGCTGCAGTGCATCCCCTAACCCCACCTCAACGCCTCCCTCGTTGGATATCGGCGGCCCTCCTCGCACCGCTCGCCGCCGCGCCTCGCAATCAGATGGCCCCCTGCCGTGCCACTTAGTAGGTTCGGTTGGGGGGTGAAGCCATCAGCGCCTAGATTTGTGGCAAATCGGCGCCACACCCGCACAAAACGACAGAAGCAGTGCCCCGAGCCTGTAGTCTCAAGTGAACACCAAACGTGAGTTCGAGCCTCGGAAAGGTCCGTACCAGCCTTCAACTTCATCTCGGCTGTGAACGTCCATCTCACGGTATTCGCTAGCGAAACCATTTGCGACCTGCATGACTCTGGTTACCTCTAGGTGGTAATCTCTGTGCATGCGAACATTGCAGGAAAATGGAATGGGGGCCAATTTTGCTTCACTCTAGCTGAGGTTGGAATGCTTATGACAAAAATGTAAAGAGAGGAGCACTTTCTGTTTGGCAATTGGAGTTTTTGATTGTGAAAATCAGAGCTAGTTGTTATCACCAGACATCCCTAACTACTAATACCGCCTTTCCAAAACGCATGCTAATCATCCTCCGGAAGCACGTCACGCTTCGTTTGAGACTCAATCCTCAATCGGGGAGGAAAATCAGAGTTTCTTGCAATGATCTTGAGGGGGTGTGCCTCGGTATTGAACACCCATTGGTTGAGAGGTAGCACATCATCGGGCGAGAAAAGGAGGTATAGATACTTGAGCGTCTCGGCAAGGAAGAAACTATGCTGCAAGTCGTCCTGCTGCGGAGGGTTCTGAGAGGCCTGGAGCACGGACAGCAAAACGACGGGAGATTAAGAGAGCTAAACTTAAGGGCCACAGCGGGATAAAAAAAAAATACAAAAAACCCTCGGGACGGCATTCCGGCCGTGTGTTGGAAAAGCCTGAAGCCAGCACATTTCCATTCCCAATCCCAGAAAGGAGAACCACATTAGGACACCCATAGCCCATTCGTTATACTCACATCCAGCAACCCCACGAAGCCGTTTTCCACACGGCAGTGCTTTTGGAAGGCCTGGAACACCTCCCACCCCCACTGCCTGTAGATGGGGTCGTGCGTGGCCCTCCACAGGTACATCCACGCCTCCACTGCCTCGGGCCTCAAGTGGTTGTATTTGCGCCCCTCCATGCGCATGCCCTGAGTGGTTTATGGTGCATGGACGGATGGAAGATGCATGGAGGGATGGAAGACAGAGGTGAGTGCAAAGCAGGTGTGGCCCTCCACAGGTACATCCACGCCTCCACTGCTTCGGGCCTCAAGTTGCTGTATTTGCGCCCCTCCATGCGCATGCCCTGTAGTGAGGTGAGCACACGTGAAGAGGGATAAGGGATGGACGTATGGGGGTTCAAGCCAGGTGTGGGGCCCTCCACAGGTACATCCATGTGCATGCCCTGTGGTGGTGTGTGGCGCACATAAGGAGTGGAGGATGGGGGGGCGAAGGTGAGTTCAAACCAAACCAGGTGTGGGGCCCTCCACAGGTACATCCATGCCTCCACTGCCTCGGGCCTCAAGTTGTTGAACTTGCGGCCCTCCATGTGCATGCCCTGTGGTGGTGGCGTGTGATGCAAGGAGGGTGGCGCACATGGGAGTAAGGAAGACTGGGATGAGATTCAATCTAACCTCTCCAGTTCAACTAGGTACACCTCTCCACACCTACCTCACCCTCATGCCTCTACTACCTCTTTTGAGTCGACTCAAAACTAGGTACACCTCTCCACACCTACCTCACCCTCATGCCTCTACTACCTCTTTTTGAGTCGACTCAAAACTAGGTACACCTCTCCACACCTACCTCACCCTCATGCCTCTACTACCTCTTTTTGAGTCGACTCAAAACTAGGTACACCTCTCCACACCTACCTCACCCTCATGCCTCTACTACCTCTTTTTGAGTCGACTCAAAACTAGGTACACCTCTCCACACCTACCTCACCCTCATGCCTCTACTACCTCTTTTGAGTCGACTCAAAACTAGGTACACCTCTCCACACCTACCTCACCCTCATGCCTCTACTACCTCTTTTTGAGTCGACTCAAAACTAGGTACACCTCTCCACACCTACCTCACCCTCATGCCTCTACTACCTCTTTTGAGTCGACTCAAAACTAGGTACACCTCTCCACAGCTACCTCACCCTCATGCCTCTACTACCTCGGACCTCAGCATGTTGAGCATGCGCCCCTCGAGATAAAAGTGTTGTTTTGAGACGTCTCAAAACAACACTTTTATCACGTGACTACCTCGGGCCTCAGCATGTTGTGCATGCGCCCCTCCATGTGCATGGTCTGTGGGGGAGAGGTAAGCACATGTGGAGGGATAAGGAGGGACGGATAGGGATTCAACCCAGGTGCATCCCCCCACTGGTGCCCTCCACAGGTACATTCACGCTTCCACTGCATCGGCATGAGCGCGCTGTACGTGTGGCCCTCCATGCGCATGCCCTGTGGTGGTGTGGTGGTGTGGTGGTGTGTGACGCACAGATGGAAGAAGCACGCACACACCGTGTTGCCTACAGCTTAGTCTTTGCCCCACTCTACAGCTAATGTCACACTATACAGATACTGTCACACTATGCAGATACTGTCACACTATACAGATACTGTCACACTATACAGATACTGTCACACCATGCAGATACTGTCATACTATGCAGATATTGGCACACTCTACAGCTACAGTCACACTCCACATCATGCAACACAGTCACATGGCAGCACAGTCACATGGCAACAGAGTCACATGGCAACACAGTCACATGACAGCACTCACAGTTACGCACCTTGATTTCTAAGACGTCTCAAAACAAAGACCATTGCGAGACGTCTCAAACACTGCGAACACACACAGTCATATGGCAACTACCCACATGCACACACCTTCTCCCCAAACGCATAGTCCTCCCCACTGAGCCCCGTGGGTGACGTGCTGTAGAAGAGGTGACACGTATGTCCCAGCTGGGAAGGAGGGGTGGGGTGGGGGGGTAGTTTGGTTGGCATGGCACATGGAGGGGAAGGAGGGGTGGGGTGGGGGGGTAGTTTGGTTGGCACATGGAGGGGAAGGAGGGGTTGAGGGGATTGCTCGTTCACACAAAGGCATACATCAAATGGTCACCAGCCCTTTCAGAACGAGCTTCCACTCAACTCCACGGCAACTCTCGAGGCAACTGAATTACAAGGCGCATGGAAATTTTTGCTTCTGACTTTTGAGGCATGTAAAGAATCTTCCCACGACAAGCTCTCCACTCAATTCCAAGGATCAAGAAGCTTTGGGAGTTTTGAGACGACGCCTCAAAAGGCCTCCTCAGGAGGAGTTGCTCACCTCCACACCTCCACAGCACCTCCTGATGTTCCTGAGCTAGATCAAAAGCAGCACCCAAGTCCTAGCTCTCTCCCCCTTTTTTCCTCCCCCTTTCACCTCTTTTGCCAGCCTCATGTACGCCTCAGTGAACTCACTCCCCTCCGCCACGGTCCGAGCGCCCAGCCCCAGGATGCCTGTCACAAAGCGCCCTCTCCCCCTGCTCTTACATCTCCCCCTTTCACCTCTTTTGCCAGCCTCATGTACGCCTCTGTGTGCACACTCCCCTCCGCCACGGTCTGGGGCCCCAGCACCAGCATGCCTGCCACTTGCACGGTTGCACCTCCCCTTCTCACCTCTTTAGCCAACTTCATATACGCTTCTGTGTGTTCACTCCCCTCCGCCACTGTCTGAGCCCCCAGCACCAGCATGCCAGCCACGAAGCACGTCACATGCTCCATCTTGTGCTCTACCTTCCCCGCATGCATCTCACCCACGTACGCCACTCTGCCTCCGCTGCTGCTGCTGTCACTGCTGCCGGTACTGCTGCTGCTAACGTCAGCGCGGCTGCTGCCGCTGTCCCTGGTGGTGCTGCTGGTGCTACCAGTGGTGGCAGTGGTGTTGGTTGCAGTGGCGGTGGTGGCAGTGGCGGTGGTGGCAGTGGTGGTGGTGGTGGTGGTGGTGGTGGTGGTGGGAGCTGGGGAGTGGTGAATTAGCTTTGCCAGCATGCCTTGCATGGATTTCTCCCACATGTCTCTGTGGGTGGAGAGTGGTGGGAAGGGATTGGAAGTGGTGTGCAGTGGTGAAATGAACTTTTTTGAGGGAAGAAAGACACAAATAAATCAGATTCGGCTAGAAAGCATAACACGTCCCCGAAGTGAAATCACGTTAAGAAGGCCCAAGAAAACTCAGAATGACATGTCAAACAAAACCTCGCTAACTTCAACGTACAATCGAGGGTTCTCAAGAAACGCATTCAGCCTCCCTCATCTAAACAGTTTGGCGTACAATGCATGCTCATGGGAGTGTCTTGAGATGTCTCAACATGCTTTTATGATCACGCAGCTATAGCTGGACACCAGTGCGCTGCCACAATAAGAGGAGATGGCTTTCGTGTGTGTGTCACAAATTTAAATTACATGTCAAACTAAACCTCACTCGCCGAAATTGTTAGACGTACGATGTGCTACCATAATATGGTATGCTCTCTCCAAAAGAGACCCTCTCAAAAGGAAGGTGAGTCAAAAGGAGACTCTCTACGTTGCACGAGGCTTCAGTCAGCGACAGAGAGTTGACTTCTTCCAGACCTTCTCCCCTACCCCGAAGATGACCACTTTTCGGGTTCTGCTGCACGTCGCCGCTCAGCGTGACTACGAGCTGCACTCTCTTGACTTCAGCACAACTTTCTTACAGGGCAGCCTGCACGAGGAGATCTGGCTGCGCCGCCCACTTGGCTTCACTGTGTTGTTTCTTGCAGGTACCCAGTGGAGCCTCCGGCGGCTAGTCTACGGTCTCCCCAGGCGCCTCGCGAGTGGCACGACACACTGAGGACGACGCTTGCGGCTCTTGGGTTTGCTCCTTCGAGTGCTGACCCGTCGCTGTTTTTGCGCACTGACACTTCGCTGCCGCTAATCTACATCCTGTCAAACTTATATGCTGTAGTGGGGTAGTTCATATAGGGTACAACACTTTTATGTTTCCTACTTGTACCCACATGCTTGCTAGTGTAGTCATTCATTCGTTCACTATTCTGACATGGTATTCTGAGCAGGTTCCCTAGTGGGAACGTATTTTTAGGGCCCACCACGAATTTTTCTTGCCCTGCCCGAAGCGTGCCTCGCGCCCTGCCCGAAGCGCGCCTCGCGCCCTGCCCGAAGCGCGCCTCGCGCCCTGCCCTAGTACGGCCCGTCGCGACCCTGTCGTCAACCCAAGAAGCGTCTGTGTGACCAGTGAGGACAACTGGAGCCCGTCCTCCAAGCACGAGCCCCATGCCCGACGTACTGCACAAGTAGCGCATAACCCTCTTAGCGGCCTCCCAGTGCTCTGGTCGGTGTCTCCCGGGCGCAACGTAGCGAGCCAGGATGCTAAGAGGGTAAGCAAGGTCAGGTCGAGTGCAGGTCATCAGGTACATGAGGCAGCCCACAAGCTCTAGATACGGGCCACTCGGCTCTACGGACTCATCCGAAGGCAGAGCTGAGAGCGAGTGACCGGTAGGCAGAGGAGTGGACTGTGGCGAGGAGTACGTGAAGCGGAAGCGCTGAAGGACCTGCTGTACCATGTGTGACTGAGTCAAGGTAATGGTGCGCCGTGCTCTGTCCCGGGTGATCTGCAAGCCAAGATAGCTGCGCAGCTCACCCAGGTCTGTGCACGTATGTCTCTTCTGCAGCTCCGACTTCACGTGGGCCCGTCGCCGGCCCGTCCCGGCCCGTTGTTGCCCGTCGCCGGCCCATCGCCGCCTGTCGCTGGCCCATCCCAGTCGCGGCCCTGCCTTCGCCGCCCGTCGCGGCCTCTGCCCTGAAGCCGCCCTGTCGCGGCCCCGCACTGCTGCCGCCCCAGTCGCGGCCCTGCCCTGCAGCCGCCCCTGTCGCGGCCTTGTCCTGCTGCCGCCCCAGTCGCGGCCCTGCCTTAGCCGCCCGTTGCGGCCCTGCCCTACTGCCGCCCCAGTCGCGGCCTCTGCCCTGCAGCCGCCCTGTCGCGGCCCTGCCCTACTGCCGCCTTAGTCGCGGCTCTTCCCTGCAGCCGCCCCTGTCGCGGCCCTGCCCTGCTGCCGCCCCGGTCGCGGCCCTGACCTAAACCGCCAGCTGCGGCCCTGCCCTGCACCCGCTCCTGGTAAGCACCCGCGCCGCCCTGCCGCGCCGCGCCGCCTGCTGCCGCGCCGCCCAGCCGAGCCGCGCCACACTACCGAGCCGCGCCGCCCTGCCGAGTTGCACTGCCATTCTGCTTGCGCTGCTTCTGCTGCCACTGCTGCTACTGCTGCTACTGCTGCTACTGCTGCTACTGCTACTATGGCTAGCCCTACTGTTCTCACCTTTGATGCTGAGGGGCGTGCAGTTGACTTTGACGTGTGGATTGACGACCTACAGCTCTTTCTTCAGTGTGACTCTAGGGATGGGGTATCCCTGTTTGATCACACGTCCGGTGTCTCTACTGCACCTGCTGCCACTGCTGACAGTACGGTTCGCTCGCAGTGGACCACTCGTGACGCTGTTGCTCGCCTTGCTGTTCGTAGTCACCTGCCGTCTGCTGAGCACGCGCATTTTGGCCAGTACAAGACTGCTAAGTCTTTGTACGACGCTGTCGTAGCGCGCTACTCCTCCCCTGCCACTGCTGCCCTCAGCCGCCTCATGCTGCCGTACCTTTTCCCTGACCTTGCCGCCTTTGCCACAGTCGCTGACTTCATTACTCACCTCCGCACTAGTGACGCCCGCTACCGCGCTGCGCTTCCCACTGAGTTCTGTGCCAAGAACCCCCCCCCCATGTACATCACCCTTTACTACCTAGTCACCCGCCTCCCTGACTCCCTATCTTCAGTCAGGGACCACTTTCTCTCCCTTTGCCCCACCGAGCTCACTGTCGACCTGCTAGAGGAGCGCCTCACTGCGGCTGAGAAGAGTATCTTAGCTGTAGGTGCTTCTCGCGGCGACCGTCGCGCCCTTTTCTTTGAGGGGTGTTCCCCAGTCCCCCTTCTCCCCTCTGTTGCTTCTGCTGCTGCTGTCGACCTCGTTGGCACTGAGGAGGTCGGTGCTGCGTCTGCTCCTAGTGGGAGGCGCCGCAACAGCAAGGGCAAGGGGGGCAAGGGTGGTGGAGGGGACGGTGGGGGCAACGGTGGAGGCGGTGGAGGAGGCGGAGGGGGTGGCGGTGGAGGTGGGGGTGGTGGCGGGAGTGGGGGCTTCGGTGGCGGCGGTGGGGGTGGTGGAGGCAGCGGCAGCGGCTGTGGAGGCAGCGGCAGCGGTGGTGGAGGTGGCGGCGGAGGTGGTGCTGGTCGAGGTGGTGCCGCGCAGCGTGGAGGCTTTGGTGGTAGCCAGCGCCAGCAGCAGCCGCGTTCCCGTGAGACCCCGTCGGCCCAGCAGCTTCGTGAGTGGTACGCTGGGCGTGGGAGGTCTGGGGGTGTTGGTCCCTGCACTTACGTTCTTCGCACCGACGGGCGCCGTGGGGAGACGTGCGGGCTGCCACACACTGCGCAGCGCTGCTTCGGTCGCCTGACTGACGCCTGGCGCGCTCAGTTTCCTGACGCTGTTGAGCTCCCTCGCTGGGGTGATCTTCTTAGGCAGAATGTTGCTATCTTTGATCTTGATTTCAATGCTATCCTTGCTGCCATGCATGCTGTGACTGATAGTGCTGAGGGTGACTGCTACCTGTGTGTTCCCCCCGACCCGGGCATTGAGGCTGCTGCTCTAGGTGCTAGTGCGTCTGCTGCTCCAAGTACTGGTGAGTCTGCTGCTCCAGGTGCTGGTGAGTCTGCTCTCTCTGGTACTGCACCTACTGAGGCCTTACACACCTTCACACTTGACTCTGGTGCTTCGCGCTCTTTCTTTCGCGACAGCACCACACTCACGCCGCTCAGTCGGCCTGTCGCAGTCTCCCTGGCTGACCCCTCTAGGGGCCCAGTCCTTGCGCACTCTTCCACGGTTCTACCGTGTCCTGCGGCCCCGTCGGGCTTGCTGTCGGGACTCCACCTCCCCTCGTTCTCTACGAACCTGGTGAGTGGAGCTGACCTCCAAGACGCGTGGGTTGACCAGTTCACCCCTGGAGGTCAGCGTGTGACCCATTGCACTTGCTCTCGGACGGGCCGCCACCTGGCCACGTTCACCCGTCGGCCTGGGTCGAGTCTGTATACACTGACTACTGCGTCTCCTCCGGTTGCTGCGTCTGGTCAGGTAGCCGCGTCTGGTCAGGTGTTTTCTGCCGCGTCCAGGTCTAGTCCAGTGTCTGCCCACTGCTCGTGTCGTCCTCTGTCACACGAGACTCTCCTTTCGCACCACCGCCTTGGTCACTCCTCCCTGCCTCGTCTTCGAGGTATGGCCTCCCGTACACTTGTCTCTGGTCTCCCCCGGTCCCTCCCTCCCCTTCCTCCGGGGCCTGCCCCTACCTGTGTTCCTTGTGTCGAGGGCCGGCAGCGCGCCGCCCCTCACTCCTCCGAGTTCCCTCCGACAGAGTCTCCCCTGCAGACTCTTCACATGGACGTGTAGGGCCCAGCCCGCGTCCGTGGACAGGGTCACGAGCGTTACTTCCTGCTGGTCGTTGCCGCTACTCGCGTTACACCACAGTCTTCCCCTTGCGCCGCAAGGGTGAAGTCACTGAGGTGTTGATCGACTGGATCCGCGGTACCCGTCGCCAGCTCAGCGAGAGTTTCGGCTCGGACCTTCCTGTTCTACGTCTGCACTCAGACAGAGGTGGTGAGTTTTCCTCCGACCTTCTGAGGGCTTTCTGTCGTGCGGAGGGCATCCGCCAGACGTTCACGCTTCCGGCCTCTCCACAGCAAAATGGGATTGCTGAGCGCCGCATTGGCATGGTCATGGACGTCGCTCGTACGTCCATGATCCATGCGGCTGCTCCCCATTTTCTGTGGCCGTTCGCGGTTCAGTACGCTGCGCATCAGATCAACCTTCAGCCTCGTGTCTCCTTGCCGGAGACCACACCTACTCTGCGGTGGACAGGGAAGGTTGGCGATGCGTCTGTGTTCCGTGTCTGGGGATCTCGAGCTTTTGTCCGCGATACTTCAGCGGACAAGCTGTCCTCCCGTGCCGTTCCCTGAGTCTTGCTTGGCTTCCCCCCTGACGCACCCGGGTGGCAGTTCTACCACCCCACCTCCCGTCGTGTTCTGTCCTCTCAGGACGTCACGTTTGATGAGTCGGTGTCTTACTACCGTCTCTTTTCCTACCACAGTGCCTCTCTCCTCCCCCCGCCACTCTTCCTAGCACCAAGTACTCCTCCGGTAGACCCCCTCCCCCCTCAGGGTCCTGCCCCCTCAGGTGTGTCCCAGGTAGACCCTGTCGAGCCTGTCGAGGTAGCTGTCGACTCAGGTGCTGCTAGGGGTGCTGAGCCTGCGGGTGCGGGGATTGGGGGTGCGGAGCCTAGGGGTGCTGAGCCTGAGCGTGTGGAGCCTGGGGGTGCTGAGCCTGGGGGTGCTGAGTCTGCGTCTGCGTCTGTCTATCCTCCGTCCGTCGGGGGTGAGTGTGCTCTTGGCACGGACGTTCTTGAGGACAGACAGGAGGAGTTTGAGTGCTTTGCCGCTGCTGTACCTCATCTCGTGTCCATGCTGCTTGCCCTTGAGGGAGACCCGAATGCACCAGACATCCCGACCCCGCGCTCTTACGCAGAGGCGTTAGAGGGTCCGTACTCCTCTCAATGGCAGGCAGCCATGGACGCCGAGATGGCATCCTGGAAGTCCACAGCCACCTACGTAGACGAGATTCCCCCGCCTGGGGCGAACATCGTCAGTGGCATGTGGATCTTCAGAGTGAAGCGGCCGCCGGGTTCTCCGCCTGCCTTCAAGGCGCGTTACGTTGCACGTGGCTTCAGTCAGCGACAGGGAGTTGACTTCTTTCAGACCTTCTCCCCTACCCCGAAGATGACCACTCTTCGGGTACTGCTGCACGTTGCTGCTCAGCGTGACTACGAGCTCCACTCGCTTGACTTCAGCACAGCCTTCCTACAGGGCAGTCTCCACGAGGAGATCTGGCTGAGCCGCCCACCTGGCTTCACTGGGTCGTTTCCTGCTGGTACCCAGTGGAGCCTCCGGCGGCCAGTCTACGGTCTCCGCCAGGCACCCCGTGAGTGGCACGACACACTGAGGACGACTCTTGCTGCTCTTGGTTTTGCTCCTTCCGCTGCTGACCCGTCGCTGTTTCTTCGCACTGACACCACTCTACCGCCGTTCTACGTTCTCGTGTACGTAGACGACTTGGTCTTTGCTACTGCTGACACTGAGGCACTTTCCCACGTGAAGGCCGAGCTGCAGAAGAGACACACGTGCACAGACCTGGGTGAACTGACAAGCTATCTTGGCTTGCGGATCACCCGGGACAGAGCACAGCGCACCATTACCTTGACTCAGTCACACATGGTGCAGCAGGTTCTTCAGCGCTTCGGCTTCACGTATTCCTCGCCACAGTCCACTCCTCTGCCTACCGATCACTCGCTCTCAGCTCCACCTTCGGACGAGTCCGTAGAGCCGAGTGGCCCGTATCCAGAGCTTGTGGGCTGCCTCATGTACTTGATGACTTGCACACGACCTGACCTCGCATACACTCTCAGCCTTCTGGCACGCTACGTGGCTCCCGATAGGCACCGAAAGGTGCACTGGGATGCTGCGAAGAGGGTGTTGCGCTACTTGTGCAGTACGTCGGGCATGGGGCTCGTGCTTGGAGGACGGGCTCGAGTTGTCTTCACTGGTCACGCTGACACTTCCTGGGTAGACGACTTGGCTACGCAGCGGTCGTCACAGGGTTACACCTTCAGTCTTGGCTCCGGTTCTGTCTCTTGACGGTCTACCCGCTCTTCTTCTGTTCTCAGTTCCAGTTGTGAGGCTGAGATCTACGCTGGGGCCATGGCTGCACAGGAGTTACGCTGACTCACCTACCTGCTGACCGACTTGGGAGAGGCGCCTCGTTCTCCTCCAGTTCTCTACGTCGACAACAAGGCCATGCTGGCCTTGTGTCAGGAGCACAGACTGGAGCACAGAACGAAGCACATTGCTCTGCGCTACTTCCTTGCTCGAGAGTTGCAGCAGCGTGGTCAGCTTCGTCTTACTTACGTGGCCTCTCAGACCAACACTGCTGATGTTTTCACCAAGGCACTTCAGCCTTGTGATCATCAGCGTTTCTGTACTATTCTAGGCCTTGTACCTACTGTGCCTCACTTGCTTACTTCTTGACTCTGCTTGTACTGTACTCTCCATACATATACCTGCACGCTTACACTTACTAGGTTATGTTCACTGTATTGTTTGTTCTCCTTTATATAACTTTGCATGTGAACTGGCTTTGTGGCCATTTGCTTGTGCTCAGACTGTGTGGCGACTTTGTGATCCACCCTGAGCTTGCTTTGCCTTTCTTGACTGGTCTTGTGACCTCTTGTTCTCCCCCACTTTGCCTATGTGGGTGTGTAAAACTTATATGCTATAGTCTATCTAGGCTGTAGTGGGGTAGTTCATATAGGGTACAACACTTTTAGGTTTCCTACTTGTACCCACATGCTTGCTAGTTCAGTCATTCATTCGTTCACTATTCTGACACATCCTCGTGTACGTCGACGACTTGGTTTTTGCCACTGCCGACACTGAGGCACTGACCCTTGTGAAGTCGGAGCTGCAGAAGAGACACACCTGCACTGACCTGGGTGAACTGCGCAACTATCTTGGCTTGCAGATCACCCGGGACAGAGCACGGCGCACTATCACCTTGACTCAGTCACACATGGTGCACCAGGTCCTTCAGCGCTTCGGCTTCCGGTACTCCTCGCCACAGTCCACTCCTCTGCTTACCGGTCACTCGCTCTCTGCTCCACCGTCGGACGAGTCCGTCGAGCTGAGTGACCCGTATCCAGAGCTTGTGGGCTGTCTCATGTACTTGATGACCTGCACTCGACCTGATCTTGGCTACCCTCTTAGCATCCTGGCACGCTACGTTGCGCCCGGGAGACACCGACCAGAGCAATGGGAGGCCGCTAAGAGGGTGTTGCGCTACTTGTGCAGTACATCGGGCATGGGGCTCATGCTTGGATGACGGGGCCCAGTTGTCGTCACTGGACACGCAGACGCTTCTTGGGTTGACGACTTGGCTACGCAGCGGTCGTCACAGGGTTACACTTTCAGCCCTGGCTCCGGCTCTATTTCTTGGTGGTCAACCTACTCGTCTTCTGTTCTCGGTTCCAGCTGTGAGGCTGAGATCTACGCAGGGGCCATAGCTGCACAAGAGTTATGCTGGCTCACCTACCTGCTGACCGGCTTGGGAGAGCGGCCTCGTTCTTCTCCAGTTCTGTACGTAGACAACAAGGCCATGATTGCCTTGTGTCAGGAGCACAGTCTGGAGCACAGAACGAAGCACATCGCTCTACGATACTTCCTTGCTCGAGAGTTGCAGCAGCGTGGTCAGCTTCGTCTTGCTTACGTGGCCATTCGGGCCAACACTGTTGATATATTCACCAAGGCACTTCAGTCTGGTGATCATCAGCGTTTTTGTACTATTTTAGGCCTTGTGCCTACTCTGCCTCACTTGCTCACTGCATGAATTTGCTTGTACTACTTATTCAAACGACATTTCAAATGATATTTCGGATGTCTCACAACCCCGCCTCGAAAGATCGTCCGACTCACCCACCTGTATCCTTGAATGTAGGGTGTGCCACCGCCTTGCACCCACACTTTGAGTAGATACTCATAGAAACTGATGCAGGGACAAGGACAGGAGAAGACAGATTGGGAGTCGGAACAGGAGAGAGAAAGAGAGGAGGGAATTTCATAAATTGAGGAATTGTGTTGTTGAAAGTGGCATGCTCGGTTGCCTTGGAGACATCGAGCAGCGGGTTTTTTATGGGCGAGGAACGGTTGTACACGGTACGGTGGTGTTAGGTCCTGCACTCTTAGTATGTATGTTCATCAACAAACGGCAGATAACAGAAAGGGGGAATGCGCAGGAATGTGTTGAGAGGTGGGCTTGCCAATGCCAGTGAGATATCTGAACACCATGCCCAGACGCACTTCACCTCATCTCACAACACCTCATCGCAACTCACCGCACTTTCACCGCACTTCACCGCATCCCATCTCACCTGTCCCCCATGGACCCAAGTGTGATGTGGCGAGAGTTGGGCTTGCCAGTGGCAGTGAGATGCCTGAACACCATGTCTAGCCGCACTTCACCTCATCTCACCGCATCTCATCCCACCTCACCTGTCCCCCATGGACCCAAGCGTGATGTGGCGAGAGGTGGGCTTGCCAGTGGCAGTGCCGATGAGCACCGGTAGCAGACCGTCGGATGGAAAGATCTTGGCAATCTGACGGATGACGTGCTCCGACTGAACAGGCAGGCAAGCCAACAAAAGGGGAGAGGAGAGAAGAAGAGGTTTAGAAAGGAGGGAAGGGGAGGAGCGCAAAAGGAGGGACGGGAGGGGGCATGAAGGAGGGGACGGGGGGTGTGTGGAAGGAGGGACAAGAAGATGCATGGAAGGAGGGCAGGGGAGGTGCGTGGAAGGAGGGGAGGTGCGTGGAAGGAGGGGAGGTGCGTGCAGCGTTGGTGTATTTGGAATAGCTGGTGCGCTGAGAGGGTAAAAGAAGAAAACGGAAGGTGTGTGGGAAGAGGGGAGGGGAGGTGCACAAAAGGAGGGGAGGGGATGGTAGGTGCATACGACGTTGGCGTATTTGGGATAGCCGGTGCGCTGAGAGGGTGAAAGGAGAGAGGGGAAGGTGCGTGGAGGGAGAGGGGCGAGAGGAGGTGCGTACAGCATTGGCGTATTTGGAATCGCCGGTGCACTGAGAGAGTGCAAGGAGAGAACGAAAGGTGCGAGGAAGGCGAAGGGGGAGGGGAGGCGCGTACAACATTGGCGTATTTGGGATCGCCGGTGCGTTGAGAGAGTGCCACCATCTCCAGCTGCGTTGAGCCAAGATCTGCCAGCATTGCGGAGCGCTGGCAATGGAATGGGCGCATGGACAAAGATGCAATGAACGGAACACACAAGGTGGTGAGACTGTTGAGACAGTCCCATCATCTCGAGCAGCGCGGAGCCCAGATCTGCCGGCATTGATAAGCGCTAGGGGCGTGGGAGGGAAGGCGTGTTGGCAAGTGCATAGGAGAGGCGTGGACTGATCATTAAGCTCTCTGGTCGAATCGATCATGAGAAGTTTAAGTCTATGTCCATCAGCGGCGCTGCCTGTGGTGCCCCATTTCTGAGGCACGTCACAAGTCACTGCGGTGCCCATTTCTTAGAGGTTAAAGCCTATGTCCGTCAGCGTTTCGGTGCCCCATGCCACTAGCGAGCAACACAACTCAAGCCTTCCGCCCACTGCTCTGCTCATGCCCAGGGAGTATCACACAAGACTTACCCCACTCCATCTGGGTGAATGCGCGGTGCTGCTGGCATGGTTGATTATTCGTGGAGGGCGGAATGCACATGCGCATGGAGTAGGCGGGCTGCAGCTTGCCTGGGGGCGGAATGCCCATCCCTATGCTCAAGGCTCCAGCATAGGGATGCTCGTGTCGTGCCCTACAATCTCATGTCGTGCCCTACAATCTCATGTCGTGCCCTACAATCTCATGTCGTGCCCTACAATCTCATGTCGTGCCCTACAATCTCATGTCGTGCCCTACAATCTCATGTCGTGCCCTACAATCTCATGTCGTGCCCTACAATCTCATGTCGTGCCCTACAATCTCATGTCGTGCCCTACAATCTCAAGAGCGGAGAGGAGAGTTCCCTCCCCTACTGTAAGCCCCTATAGAGCGCACCCACTCAACCCAGTCCACCCGTGCGAGCGAGCGTGCGGTCCCACTGGCGAGGTTGACAAAGGCGAGTGGGATGCCTGTGGGGGTGGAGTCCGCCTCCCTTCTCTAGGCTCCAGCCCCCTATGCGTGTGTGTGCCCCTAGAGCCATCATCAACTCACCCCAGTCCAGCCATGCGAGCGAGCAATGCCACTAGCGAGGTTGACAAAGGCGAGGGGGATGCCCGTGGGCGTGGCGAAGGCCGGCAGCAGCTTGTGTGCGAGCTCCTTTGCTTTAGCGAGCAGCATTGGGTCGCCTGACAGGTCGTATGCACTCAGTAGCCCGCCCAGTATGCTGGGAGGGAGGTCGGGGAGAGAGGAAGGAACGGGAAGGAGGAGGAAGAGAGAATGCTGATAAGGCCACCAGCAGCTTGTCTGCGAGCTCCCTCGCCTTGCGCAATAGCATGGGGTCGCCTGACAGGTCGTACGCACTCAGTAGCCCACCCAGTATGCTCGAAAGGGGGGAGATTTATCCTGGGCGTGGATGGCCACTAGAGTGTGACTAAAGTCGGCTGCTCACGAGAACTATGTCAGAAGACCACGAGAGCTCATTTGGTTCATGTTCATCCTGGACATGGACATGGACATGGACATGGACATGGACATGGACATGGACATGGGCATGGACATGGACATGGACATGGACATGGACATGGATATGGACATGGACATTGACATGGACATGGACATGGATATGGACATTGACATTGACATGGATATGGACATGGACATGGATATGGACATGGACATGGACATGGATGGAAAAGAGCTTTTTGGCCATTGGATTTTTGATATAACAGGATGGTGAAAACCACAATTTGGTTTCTGGAGTTTTGTACAATCACCGTGACTTGCCATCACCATGAATAATCCTGGTGTACATTACTCATACATGTGACTCATCCGTTTCTGCTGGACAATATTCTTGGTAATGGATCAGAATCAATAAGTGTACATCATTCATACAGGAACACACGCAAATGATCCTCTGCACAACATGCATGCACGCGGCAGAGTTTTGAGACGCCTCAAGCATGCATGCACGCGGCAGAGCATATGAGAATGAAGGTGCCTGGTGGGTGATTCAAAGAGTAGCATGTGCATGGATGCATGTATAGGTATTTACATGGGAAGAAATTCAGAGACAATGTGCGTACCGAACGGTCGTAGGTAAGAAAGAAGTATGACCGTAACGTGACATGCTGCACACGTTACATACCGAATGGTGGTTTCAAAGACGTTGGCATCGTAGTCATGCTTGAAGAAGAGCTTCTCCTGCACCCAGCTGGCAGAGGGGGGGAGGGAGAGGGAGGAAAGACAAGAACAGGAGTGGAGGGAAGAGGAGTGTTGATATAGAAGGCCAGAGAGGGAAAAGATGTAGTCATTCTAAAAAAAAGAGCTTCTCTTGCACCCAGCTGACAGAGGGGGCGAGGGAGAGGGAGGAAAGAGGAGTGGAGGGAAGAGGAGTGTTGATAGAGAAGGTCAGAGAGGGAAAAGACGTAGTCATGACTCATGCTCGAAGAAGAGCCTCTCGTGCACCCAGCTGACAGAGAGAAGGAGGGGAGGGGGGGGGGGGGGGGAGAGACAAGAGGAGAGCAAGGGGAGAGCAAGGGGAGATGACACGATATGCACTTCTGAATGGTGGATTCATGAGCCCCATGAGGTAGAGCGAGTCAACAAGGGTTGAACCCACTACAACATTGTACCACATCATACCATACTCTACCACATTACACCACACGACACCGCACTGCTTACATCTTGGCCTCATCAATCTCCTTCATGAGCCCCATGAGGTAGAGTGAGTCAACTTGCACTATGCACTATGCATGCATACCACACCACACCACACCACACCACACCACACCACACCACACCACACCACAGACGCACACCACCGCATCTCGCACCTCTTGGCCTCATCGAACTCCTTGATGAGCCCCATGAGATAGAACGAGTCAACTATTGTCAATCGCACTACACCACATAATACCAGATCACACTAATCTCTACCACATCACACCGCACAGCACCGCATTGAACACCTCTTGGCCTCGTCGAACTCGAACGAGTCAACTATTGTCAATCGCACTACACCACATAATACCAGATCACACTATTCTCTACCACATCACACCGCACAGCACTGCATTGAACACCTCTTGGCCTCGTCGAACTCCTTCATGAGCCCCATGAGGTAGAGCGAGTCAAGCGAGTCAACGATGGTCAAACCCAGCCCGCCAAAGTGGTTCGCTCCGGTCTTGGTGCACGGCTGGGGGTGGGTGTGGGGGTTGGGAGTGAAAGCAGAGGGGGGCGGAGGGTTGGAATGACTTTTGAGTCAAGCAAGTCAACGATGGTCAACCCCAGCCCCCCAAAGTGGTTCGCCCCGGTCTTGGTGCGCGGCTGGCGATGGGTGAGTGGAGTGGGGATGCAGGGAGACACGGAGGAGGGAGCATCACATGATGCCATCATGCCATCATGCCATCATGCCATCATGCCATCATGCCACCATGCCACCATATATACTCCTGCAGTTCGCCCAGACCCCACCTATCCACGGCCACCATGCATACAGCCAGTACGGCGGTACCCCTCCTATCCATGCAGCTACACCCGCTATTACATGACTGCGAACCAACACCTGCTCGCACCTGAAGTTCATCCATGCCCCATGCATACTGCCTGTACCCCTTCCATGCATGCGCCATCGCCTCTCGTATCGCCTCCCGCTTCTCCTCCACCCCCTCTTCCCCCTCCTCCCCCTCTCTCATCACCCTCCCCCTGCCCCCCCCATCCTGCCCATCCCCCCCAAACCCTTCCCCAGGCACATCACCAGCCTCAGCCCCGTCCCCACCCACCCCCGCTCCTCTCAATCTACCTCCCCCCGCGCCCCCTCTCCTCCTCCTTCTCTTCCGTCTGGATCGCCCCCTCCGTCTCCTCCTCCCCTCTCCTCCCCGCCCTTCCACCTCTCCGCCTCTCCCTCCTCCTCTCCCTCCTCTTCTCCCTCCACCTCTCACTCGTTCCCCCACTCCCGCTCGCCCACGCCCTCTCAGGTTCACAGGTACAACTCGAAACGACTGCTCCTCCTCCCCTGCCTCTTCCCCCTCCTTGGACGTCCCATGTGCTCCCCTACGCGTCTTTTCCAGCTGCCACAGGGGAAAACCGGGGGGAAGGGAGGAGGTGAAGGTGCTTTTGAGAGGTCTCAAAAAGGTTCATAGGTACGGCTCGAACAACTGCTTTTCCTCCCCTGCCTCCTCTCCCTCCTTGGACGTCCCATGCGCTCCCCTACGTGTTCTTTCCAGCAGCCACAGGAAAAAAAAGGATGCAGGAGGGAGGGGGGGGAGATATGGAAAAAAGGGGCGAGGAAAGGGGGGAAGGTGGGGAAGGAGTTGGGTTGACGGAAGGGGAGGGGAGAAGTCCAAACACGATGCTTTAGGGAGCCTCAAAACACGAGTTAAAACGAGCAATGGGGCATTCATAGACAAGGGATGATCGAAGATTTTCTCCCCCCTTGCAAATGCCCCCCATTTGATCTGTCCTTGTCAACTGACACTGGTGGAGTGTACAGACACTAGTACACTAATAGAGATTGCAATAACGGGTATGATATAAGTGTAGACATCGTAATAATAAAATTGGAGATATTAGCTGCTCCCCGAGCCCATGTAGCAAAGGACAAGTCGTCTTTTACTGAGTCCCATCTTCAACAGTCTCACCCTATACGAGTCCACCCTTGCAACGAGTCTAATCTTATAACGAGTCTCACCTTATGGCGGGTCTCACCTTATAGCGAGGCTCACCTCGGCCACCATGCTCTGCTTCTGGCTGTGCAACGCCTGCACCCTCGCTGTGAGTGCCTGCCGTTAGTGCATGGGGTGTTTGGAAGGGCGTTACAAGGTGCTTAGGGGGTTGAATGAAGGTGTTTGGGGGGTCGTATGGGGGTTGTTTGGGAGCGTTTGGTTGTTGCGGGGGAAGGGAAGGAAACGGGAGAAGTGTAAAAGGGAAGGGCGATGGGAAGATGGGAGAGAGGGAGTCAGACCCATTTGGAATCTCGGATCGAGCGAAAAATGGAGCGCAAATGTCGGGAATGCAACATGAACACTTGAGATTTGAATGATGGAACGCAACTTGATCGCATCGACTCGTCAAGATTCTAATATCCAAACCTGGCCAGAACGGGTTCGGCCAGCAAAACCTGGCTGTAGCCCTAAACGTAGGTTCGGCCGAGCCTAACTCCATTTAAAGCTAAGTGTAACGGAAAGTTACACTTCTGTTGACTCCAACCCGAACCTAGGTTCTTTAACCGAGCCTAAATGCCGTCCCGGCCACTACGACCGCACCTTCACTTGGCGCGCTTTGTGCTGCCGGCGCAGGAGGAGGAACATCCCCGCGATGAGGAGAAACGAGAGGAAGAAGAGGCGCTTCGGCCGACGGAGGTAGTACGCGGGTAGCAAGTACTTGACCAGCGACATTGCCGGAAACGACGCGCGGCGCCGGCCAGCCATTGCGGCGTCTCGCCCGCAAAATTAATTGGAATTCGGTCGCAAATGGCAGCGTAAAGTAAGGATGGTCAACGTGACTTCTGAGTCACTCTCGCGTGATTGGACCAGTGTGCGACACGGAATGATGGAATGCCGGCATCATTCAGTTAAAGACACGGGTTGCGACCATCTTCAAAGTTATCGACCGAGACTGACACGCTAATCGACGGACCGTCCATAACGGGCTCGCAGCGCCATAGTGACGCGTGGTCCTGTACGCTTGGTGTAGCAGAGTAGCACTGTTTTTGGCGGGAAAGTTGGAAATGTTTGCCAAGCGTGGATGGCAGCTTGTCAGCATTGGGTGATGCAATACAGAGTTGAAACCGAGGTGTAGGATGGTTGGGAGGGATGGGGGGTGTTGAAACTTGGAACAAGGTTGTTCTTAGTGCTGCCAGTACCGTACTCAAGCAGACTGTTATCCTCATTAAAGCCGTCCTACCGTGTTCAACCTTTCTGTAGAAATGGTGTTTGGACGGCATGTGAACAACGAGTGTTCGACAAAATCTCAGCCAAGGCCTTAGGGCGACGGGCTAGGGATTCTCGAGATAAGCGTCGAGACATCTGGCTAGATGCGCATGATAGTGCAGAATTAGGGAACTTGATATGCCCTTGTATCTACCATCTAGTATATTGTTTCTAGGTAATTAGCAAAGCATGTATGGAATATGAAGTTATCAGACAGGAATGGAGAAGCGCCTGCATAAGAATAATATGGAACTTTAAAAACACTCGCAATGATGCTAATTTGTTACTCTACAACTGTTGGAAACAAGTGATTTATAGCGCCTCTGTCGTATCGAAGCCGAGACACAAAACGGAACCAACTACAGCGAAGTAGCACGCGAGTCAACTGTCGGAGGTTACGCGAAGGTCAAAGGTCCCCGACCTTTGACCTGACGAAATGCACAGTGCGACAGCAAGGACATATAACTGACTCGTTACAGAGCAGTTACCCGAGTCGGCACTGTATCGAACCGCAACAGCAAAACAGTTAAAATAGAACCTTTCATATTCCTTGTAATCATATAAAAGCTTGTATCCTTTTGTTATTATCAACTTACTTTGTTCTCACAAACCAGTACAAGGTGGTTCAACAAAGTCTTTATTAAACGCTTCCGCTACTACATCATCCTACCCTTGAATTCTGTCCTGCAAAGATCCTAAGGGCTTTTTCAGCCCAACAACAACAACATAATGTGTCATGGTCATTGCTGGAATGGATTGGGCACAACCAATACTGGGCAAGATGCATTGTGGATCAAATAGTCGCTCACACTCCCAAGCAGGGCTCTGCCACTCACAGCAACGAATGAGGCAGTGAAACAAAAACAAGACAAAGCAAAACGCGTCATTCAATGAATGAGCATTAGAGAGCACATAGCACATGTCCTACGGAGATTCATCCAGGCTGACCGCATGTGTGAGCAAGTCCACACGTTAAAGTTTCATTGCAACCGCCTTTACAACCGGGGGTAGTAGAAGTGAGATGACAGAAGTACGCCAGCACAGACGCCAGCAGTCGCACCTTGGCACGGCCCCAGCCCTCCGGAGCCGACCAAGAGCAGCGCTATCGCCGGCCGCTCTCCACACCCACAGGCACACACAGTCTTACTTCGACACGGCCCCGAGCCCTCTTGAGCCCACCACGAGCAGCTCTATGGCCTGCCGCTCCACCGCCATCCCTAATGGCTGAGGTACAGGTGAGATGAGAGCGACATGCGGGCACAGAACCGAACCCAGCACTGCCACCCACCTGGACACGGCGCCCAGCCCTCTTGACCCCACGACAAGCAGCTCTATGGCCTGCCGCTCCACCGCCTCACACAGCTCTGCACGCGCATCGCCCGCCTTGCGCGACACAGCATGGCACGTTATCTGGTGGACAAGAGGGGGTGGGTGGGGGATGGGCTTTAAGCCGTCTCACCACACAGCTCCATGAGCGCATCTCCTGCCTTGCACGACACTGCAGGGCAGGTTATCTGGTGGACAAGAGGGGGTGGGTGAGTATTGAGTATAGAGATGTCGCATCACACAGCTCCATCCATGCGTGCATCCCCTGCCTTGCGCGACACTGCATGGCATGTCAGCAGCACATCAGCAGCAACCACCTCCAACACTCACCTCTCCCCCTTACTGCACTATCTTCCCCTCTTCCCCCTTTCTCCTCCCACTCACCCCAGCTGCATGCGCCATCCCTCTGAACCTAGCCAGCAGATCCTCTGCCCATGCCATGCCACCTCATACTCCCACACCCCTTTTCCTCCAATCACCCCCCCCTTCCCTCCCTCCCCCCACTCACCCCTGCTGCATGCGCCATCCCCCGGAATCGCACCAGCAGCGCCTCTGCCCGCGCCTCCACCTCATACTCCCCCTCCTGGCCCTTCCCCTTTCTCCCCCTCCCTCTCCATCAACTCAACCCCCCTCCTCCCTCCCGCCACTCACCCCAGCCGCATGCGCCATCCCTCGGAATCGTGCTAGCAAATCCTCTGCGCGTGCCTCCACCTCGTATTCCCACACCAACGCCTGCCCCGCGCTGTTGCGCTGCTCTGCCTCGTACATCCATGCCGCCTCTGGCAAATAAGGAGGGGGGAAAGGGGGGGGCCGAGGGCAGGGGGGGAGGGGAGGACTATTGATGATAGGAGTTGCTGTTGCGCTGCTCTGCCTCGTACATCCACGCCGACTCTAGGAGAGGGGGGGAACGGGGAAAGTGGTGGTGAAGGGGGTGAGTGGTGTTAAAGGGGCACGCATGGCGAGACAGCAGGCTCCTGGGTCAACGTAATTGTCACCAGGCTCACCCAGCCACCATCACCACCACCCGTGCCAGGCTCACCCGTGTTGGGGTCCCGGACGTGTAGAGCGTAGATGGTGGCGTTGCGAGACAGCAGGCTCAGCGCGAAGTGAAACGCCTGTGGGAGTCGGAGAGGCAACGCGTGTTGGAGAGAGAGGGATGGGAGGGTTGTTGGACGGCAGCAGTGGACGGCGGCCCAGGACGGCAGCACAGGACGGCAGCACAGGACGGCAGCACAGGACGGCAGCACAGGACGGCAGCACAGGACGGCAGCACAGGACGGCAGCGCAGGACGGCAGCATAGGACGGCAGCAGTGAACGGCAGCAGTGAACGGCAGCAATGGACGGGTTAGAAACGGCGAAAGGCAGCACAATTTCACTTCTATATCTGCTCTCACTCCCCTGCTCTCCTTCCCCGCTTCCTTCACTCCCACATTCCGCTAACTCCCCGTTCCCGCACCGACTCGGCGCCCTGTGATTGGTCGACTGCCACTAAAACCCGCGCATCGCGCCGCATCGCTCTCGCCGCGCCGCGTGCATCCGCGACTTCACGCCTGGTGAACGCGATACGTGAACTCGGACCACGAAAGTTCTACAAAGGAGATTGGTCTACGAGAAACAAATCTCGTAAGGAACGCAAATCGCGTTAGGCGAGTTAGGCACGGTGATGAAACAATTGATAGCTATTCACTCAGTGTCGGATTCATGAGAAGACTTCTAGGACTAATAATAGAACTTTCGGGGGCAAAGTGGAGACACGCTCTACGGGTCGAATTGAAAGCGCCAAGCAGCTGATGAGGACTTGTTGCACAGATACATTGCCCTCACAAGTTCTACGCATCAAAAACAAACTTACCCAACATTCACCGCATTGTAACGTCTCATAACATTTATGTACCGAACCGAGCCAGAAGAAATAAACCCTCAATTGTGTACAGAGTATTGACAAATTAGATTACAAAGCAGATAGTTTAAAACTATCAACTCTTAGCGAGACTTTAAACACGAGGATAACCTTGCCGAAACCAGTGATCAGGCGACACGGGCGAATTCAGCACAGGAAATGCAAACGAGCCCTGGCAGGTATGAATCGAAAACCAAACTCAAGCTCCACGCAAGCTCCATAGGTCCACGCCAACTGACCCTTCCCTCCAATTCCCGAAGCGCCCCCTGTTTTTGCGATTAGGCGAGAATTGGGACAGGGGGGAGCAGCTCGCGTCATCGCCAGCTCGAGGGGGGACCACCTCGCTGTTGGAATGAACTGCTGCTGTTGCTCGCGTGGCACCAGGGTGGCGGGAAAAATTTCACGTGGCGAAAATTTTCGCCACAGTTTCCCCGTCAGCCAAAATTCGAATCTGCAAAGGGCATCTCCCAATATTACCCATTCGCCACTTCATCATCCTTATCTCCAGTCAGCAAGGCACACTTCCATTTTCACCCAATACAAATCCTTCAATCCTCCACCTCATATCTTCTCCAATCCTCCTCAACCTTTTCCTCCACCAATCAATCCAAAGATTCCCTACCAAGCCTTAAATCAAAGCCCCATTCATTCCAATCACCAAGCCTTAATTTCAAGGCCACATTCATTCCACTCATCAAGCCTTAAATCAAAGCCCCATTCATTCCAATCACCAAGCCTTAATTTCAAGGCCACATTCATTCCACTCACCAAGCCTTAAATTCAAGGCCACATTCATCACCCCCACCTTATCCAACTTAACCAATCACAATCATTCATCTCCTCCTCTTCTTCATCCAACCTCAAGCTCCACCAAATACAAAACAAAGGGTCCACCCCATTCTTCACACATACTTTTCAAGCAAGTTTTTACCTAAGCTCTGCACAAGTTCTACTCCAAGCTCTCACAAGGCCACTTCAAAGTCCTCCTCCTCATGCCCAACTCCTAAGGCTCTACTCACCACCAACCTCTCCCAATCCAAGCTCATAGCCATGTTCTCCAACTCTAGAGAAGCTTATGCTTCATAGTCTTTCTACTAGATTGTTATCAATGGTTGCTCTTTAAGTCCATCATGTACCTCCTTTGGACTAGTGCATTTTAAGTTTTGAGGCCTCAACATCAACCTTTGACTTTCTTCTAATCAAGACTCAAGCTTCACCTTCAACACTCAAGCTTGGAGATTCTTCTCTACACAATAAACAAGATCTACACCTCAACACTCAAGCTTGGAGGTGCTTCTCCACTCAACAATCAAGATCTACTACTCAACAATCAAGCTTGGATCTCACTCTCCTTCCAACAATCAAGATTCACAATTCAAGCTTGGCTTCTTCAAGTTACAAAGCTCCTTCAAAATGACAAGTAAGACTCTTTAAGGTAAGTCACCTCCTCCTTTCACTCTTGTCAAGTTTCTCAATTAAAGCTTCTCTATTCAAAGCCTCTTCATTCTTATCAAGTCTCATTTCTTCTCAAATCTTAGTTTCCATTATCAAATTTGTTTAATTTTCAAGCTCTTTTACCTTCTCATCAATCACCCATTCAATATCTTTCTTTCAATCAATTGTTCTCTCCCTTTAATGTCTTCATCATCTTCCTTTCAAGTTTGTTATTTTTATCCTTAACCTTATTAGCCTTTACGTTCTTACTCAATCTCTTCTTCATAGGTTTCTTTATCTTATCAATTTTGTCTTACTTCACTCTTAACTCTTTCTTCTAGGAGTTTTCTTTCTCTCTACTTGCTATTTACCCTTCCTAATCCTTTACTTCAATTTCAAGATGGTATCAGAGCCCGAGTTTGTTCCTTTTGATGCTTTCCCCGTGCGCTTTTCCTAAAAGTTCATTATTGCTTGCCATTAGTGGTTTTCTTGCACTCGGTCTTGTACCCCTTTGTGGGGTTTTCTTTTGTTGTTTTTCTTCTCTCTGTATTCGTGTGCGTGTGTATGTTTGTTTTGTTTGTCTATTTCCCCCTTTTTTTGCGTGAGATTGCTTTGTTACTTTCAGGAATTTTGGTTCAACATGGCTGAAAAAGATTCAAGTGTTCCAACAGGATTCAAGTATTGCTGCCGATCGAGTCTCTTAAGTGCTTCTCCACTGCTGTCCCTTCCGCTCCTTCTTCTCGCTCTGAGGGTCAGCAGTGCGGGGGGGTGTTGGAATGAACTGCTGCTGCTGCTCGCGTGGCACCAGGGTGGCGGGAAAAATTTCACGTGGCGAAAGTTTTCGCCACAGTTTCCCCGTCAGCCAAAATTCGAATCTGCAAAGGGCATCTCCCAATATTACCCATTCGCCACTTCATCATCCTTATCTCCAGTCAGCAAGGCACACTTCCATTTTCACCCAATACAAATCCTTCAATCCTCCACCTCATATCTTCTCCAATCCTCCACGGTGATTCATGAGAAGACTTCTAGGACTAATAATAGAACTTTCGGGGGCAAAATGGAGACACGCTCTAAGGGTCGAATTGAAATCGCCAAGCAGCTGATGAGGACTTGTTGCACAGATACATTGCCCTCACAAGTTCTACGCATCAAAAACAAACTTACCCAACATTCACCGCATTGTAACGTCTCATAACATTTATGTACCGAACCGAGCCAGAAGAAATAAACCCTCAATTGTGTACAGAGTATTGACAAATTAGATTACAAAGCAGATAGTTTAAAACTATCAACTCTTAGCGAGACTTTAAACACGAGGATAACCTTGCCGAAACCAGTGATCAGGCGACACGGGCGAATTCAGCACAGGAAATGCAAACGAGCCCTGGCAGGTATGAATCGAAAACCAAACTCAAGCTCCACGCAAGCTCCATAGGTCCACGCCAACTGACCCTTCCCTCCAATTCCCGAAGCGCCCCCTGTTTTTGCGATTAGGCGAGAATTGGGACAGGGGGGAGCAGCTCGCGTCATCGCCAGCTCGAGGGGGGACCACCTCGCTGTTGGAATGAACTGCTGCTGTTGCTCGCGTGGCACCAGGGTGGCGGGAAAAATTTCACGTGGCGAAAATTTTCGCCACAGTTTCCCCGTCAGCCAAAATTCGAATCTGCAAAGGGCATCTCCCAATATTACCCATTCGCCACTTCATCATCCTTATCTCCAGTCAGCAAGGCACACTTCCATTTTCACCCAATACAAATCCTTCAATCCTCCACCTCATATCTTCTCCAATCCTCCTCAACCTTTTCCTCCACCAATCAATCCAAAGATTCCCTATCAAGCCTTAAATCAAAGCCCCATTCATTCCAATCACCAAGCCTTAATTTCAAGGCCACATTCATTCCACTCATCAAGCCTTAAATCAAAGCCCCATTCACTCCAATCACAAAGCCTTAACTTCAAGGCCACATTCATTCCACTCACCAAGCCTTAAATTCAAGGCCACATTCATCACCCCCACCTTATCCAACTTAATCAATCACAATCATTCATCTCCTCCTCTTCTTCATCCAACCTCAAGCTCCACCAAATACAAAACAAAGGGTCCACCCCATTCTTCACACATACTTTTCAAGCAAGTTTTTACCTAAGCTCTGCACAAGTTCTACTCCAAGCTCTCACAAGGCCACTTCAAAGTCCTCCTCCTCATGCCCAACTCCTAAGGCTCTACTCACCACCAACCTCTCCCAATCCAAGCTCATAGCCATGTTCTCCAACTCTAGAGAAGCTTATGCTTCATAGTCTTTCTACTAGATTGTTATCAATGGTTGCTCTTTAAGTCCATCATGTACCTCCTTTGGACTAGTGCATTTTAAGTTTTGAGGCCTCAACATCAACCTTTGACTTTCTTCTAATCAAGACTCAAGCTTCACCTTCAACACTCAAGCTTGGAGATTCTTCTCTACACAATAAACAAGATCTACACCTCAACACTCAAGCTTGGAGGTGCTTCTCCACTCAACAATCAAGATCTACTACTCAACAATCAAGCTTGGATCTCACTCTCCTTCCAACAATCAAGATTCACAATTCAAGCTTGGCTTCTTCAAGTTACAAAGCTCCTTCAAAATGACAAGTAAGACTCTTTAAGGTAAGTCACCTCCTCCTTTCACTCTTGTCAAGTTTCTCAATTAAAGCTTCTCTATTCAAAGCCTCTTCATTCTTATCAAGTCTCATTTCTTCTCAAATCTTAGTTTCCATTATCAAATTTGTTTAATTTTCAAGCTCTTTTACCTTCTCATCAATCACCCATTCAATATCTTTCTTTCAATCAATTGTTCTCTCCCTTTAATGTCTTCATCATCTTCCTTTCAAGTTTGTTATTTTTATCCTTAACCTTATTAGCCTTTACGTTCTTACTCAATCTCTTCTTCATAGGTTTCTTTATCTTATCAATTTTGTCTTACTTCACTCTTAACTCTTTCTTCTAGGAGTTTTCTTTCTCTCTACTTGCTATTTACCCTTCCTAATCCTTTACTTCAATTTCAAGATGGTATCAGAGCCCGAGTTTGTTCCTTTTGATGCTTTCCCCGTGCGCTTTTCCTAAAAGTTCATTATTGCTTGCCATTAGTGGTTTTCTTGCACTCGGTCTTGTACCCCTTTGTGGGGTTTTCTTTTGT